TTAGTTTTTTTTTTAAAAAATTTCTAGTTTTAATATATTTATAAAAATAATTCGTAAAAATTTCATTATGGTGACAGTAATTTAATTGAGTGTTTATAAAATTTATTTCTTAAAAAATTTGTTCCAGTTTAAATAATTTGCTTTAATTTAATGTTTACTAAATTTATTTCGTAATGTTCGGAAATTACATTTCATTAAAATTTTGTTACAGTTATAATAATTTTACTTTATTGGTATTATGTTTATTCCTTAAAAAACTGTTACAGTTTATATATACATAAAATTTATTTCATAAAAATTTTGTTATAGTTAAAATATTATAATTATTCCTTACTTAAAAAATTGGATGTTTATTAAATTTATTTCGTAAATTTTGTTATAGTAAAAGTAATTTCATGTAATACTTATTATATTTATTCCTCGAAAAAATTGTTAAGAAATAAATTAATGTTTATTAAATTGTTATAGCGAAAATACAGTAATGGAAAGTATATTATATTATTTCTTGAGGAAATTATTATTAATTAAACGATATAATTTAAATGTTTACTAAAATTTGTAAAAAAGTTGTAAAGTTGTGATGGTTTAAATAATTTATTTCAAATATTTAATTTTAAAAAATTTGTTATGTTTATAAAAATTATTTCCTATACAAAAAAATTTTGTTATTATTTTTTAATTTTCGTTAAATTTGAGCTTGAAAGTTTTTTTGTTCACGTTCACCAAAGCTTATTCTTCAAATATTTCGTTTTGATTGACTCAATGTTTAAGAATTTACTAGATGAATTTCTTAAGCCAAATTATTATTTTTTAAAGTTTTTATAGTATTTTATTAATAATTATTGTTTCGCTTTGCCTTAATGTTATTGCTCATTATTTTTTTTAAATTATGTATTTAATTTAAAATTGACTTTCAATACTTTTTAAATTAATTTACAGTATAACAGTTTATTCGTTGAAAATTTGTTTCAAACGCGGCTTCCTTAATCTAAATTTTTTTTTGTAAAGTAAATTCTGCTAAACTAATTTTATTTAATTTTTAATTCTTAAAATCGAATCTTTTTTTACTACTAATTTTGAAAAAAAAATTCAAACAAAATTAATTTATTCCAGTAATATAATATCTTAAAATAAATAAGTAAAAAAAACATTAAATTATTAATATAAGAAATACAAAATTTTAAAAATTATATAAAATGGATAAAAATATACAAATAATATTTTATATTATAATTGCTAAATTTAAAAAATGTGTGAAACAAAATAATTATTTTTAATTATTATTTTAGTAAAAAAAGTAATTCCTTGGAAATCTTTAGAGCTACTATAGTGTAAAGGATAATAAATAAATAAATCTATTATTATAAATAATTCCTCTGAATCACTATAAAATTTTAAATGTCTTTTTTTAAAATTATATTAAGAAAAATAATAATTTGTAAATTATTTTTATTTTTTTTTAAATTTTGTTTATCAGGAATATATAATCTTCATAGTATTCTGTATCTTTTAAAACTTCTAAAAATAATACAAAAATAAAATTTTCTTAAAAAGTAATCTTATCTAACTCCCACTATACTAATTTTTTAAAATTCAGCTTTTCTCAAAAAAAAAAATTACCTTTGAGGAAACTACAACAACCTCTTCTCCTTCCAAACAAAAGCACAAAATAAAAATCACTGCAAAAAATTCTAGATCAAATTTTAAAGACATTAAAAAATCTCCAGAAAAATTAAAAAAAAGGGGATTTAGTTGTGTATTTAAAGATTGGCTCCTCAAAAATTTAAATGAAAAAGGTCTGCGCGATTTTGAAAACTGGTGGAACCCGTCATAATTTGAAATTTGGCTTTTTGAGAAAAAAAATATACTACTGAAAAGATTTTTATTAGATAATTTTTTTTAAATAATAAGTTTAGTTATTTTTGTAATTTTTAAAATTATTTTTTATATATTTTGAAAATAATAAAATTTATAAAAATTTAAAGTGAAAGATCTGCTCCAGTAAGAATACAGTTTGAAATTTAATAATTTCACTTGAAAAAGTTCATTTTATAGCTAAAAAAAAATATTTAAGTGGAAATTAATATTTCAATATTTGCTTGATTTTTTTTAAAATCCAAAATTTTAAAAAAGTAGAATTTTTAAAGTTTTTAAATTACTGGAACAATGAAGCTATTTATTATTGGCTAGAGAAAATTAATTTTTAAAGCCATGAATAAAAAATAAAGTAATTCATAAATAAAATCTTATAGAAATATTAAATCTTAAAAATTATTTTCAGTAATAAGTAATATTAGTTGTTTAAAAACTTATTTTTAATAAATTACAACGCTTTGAAATTTTATTAAATCGGGGAATTAATTTTCTGAGAAAATTTTTATAATCAGATATAACAGATTTGTGGAAGTTTGAAGAAGCAATATATGGTTTATTAAAATGGAATTGTTTTATAATAAATATCAACGCAGTAAAAGTTTGCTTTTTAAATAATTCTTTCTCCAAGAGTAACTTATGTTCTAGATTATATAAAAGATTTTATGAGCTAAAGAATTCCATCTATAATATTACTATTACATGAAGGATTAAGTGGATTTATTGTTTTATATTAATTTTTTTAAGGAAAAATTACTGTTAAAAGGTCTACATTTTTATATTTTAAAAAAATTACTCTCAAAATTTTGGAATGTTATCATTAATTGAATAATTGAAAAGGCATTACAAAGAAGTTTTTTATATTCTTTTTTGATAAAATTAAAGTGCACTGGAATTATCTTAAAGCGTGCATTTATTTTTCTTGAACAAAAATTTTAAAGAAAGCGAAATAACATTTGTTAGAGTTTAATAAAAATATATGATTTATTAAAATGTGAGCTAATTAATAATAAATATTAAGGCTGAAAAAATTTGTTTAATTCGTCCCTCAGAGTAAATTTCTTATAATGTTTCCAGATTTAATTATGGCGCGCTGAAGAGGGCGTCCATGATAAAATAAAAACTACAAAAAATTTTACTGGATTAATTTATTCCATTAATTTTATGAAAAAAAAGGGGATCGTATAAAAAACTAAATAAGTGTTCTTATTTATAAAAGTTTATATTGTTATCAAGTGATTAATTATACAAGGTATAACGAAGTTAAACTGAATAAGCAATTTCTCAGTTATGAAATTAAAAAATTAACTTCTGAGCCCTTTTTTGTTAGGAAAGGATAAAAAACTTTTAAAGTGTATAAAGTTTTTATAAGTTTCAGAGTATTTCATGCGGAATAACTTTTTATAAAAATAGTGTAAATAAAAAAAAATTACCAAATAACGAATGCATTGCCAAATGAAGTAAAAATAAAACAATTAAGATTAGTTTCTATTATTTTTAACTTTTACTGGTTTATATTTTTGTAGGGCTTTGTAAAATGTTTTGTGTTTTTTTTTAATTACTTTCGTAAAACAAGAATATAAAAATTATTATATAAGATTAAATTTAAATGGTAAATGTATATATGTAGTTGAGGATTGAGCGTATGAGAGCATAACACTAGTAATAAGTTTAAGTAAGAAATTGCTTGAGCTCCGCGTAATTTTTTTTCCCTGTTCTGGCGATTCAAAACCTATTAAATAAATTAGTGCTATACTTCAGAATTTGATAACTCTATATTACCATTTCTTTGTATAATACTAATAATATTCTTAATGCTATTGTTAAAAAAATATAATTCTTAAAGTCTTCTGTGAGATCATTTACAATAAAACAAAAATAGTTCCATCTGAAACAAATAAGTAGAAAAAATTGGAACATAGCCCTCTTTGTAAGCCTCTAGGATTGGAAAACTAATACATAAGTACAGCTTACAATAGTAAGTCATAATATGAATCATTGTAAATGGTGAATTGATGCGCACTCAATTATTGTGAAAATTTTTTCTTTAGACTTGCAACGAAGCACAATTGGTTTTATAATAATGTCCTATTTTTCTGTCATATAACTCATTAAAAGTATTTATATACTTTTTTTTAGAAGAAAATACATAGGTTAACGCACAAATATTCCTCGTTTTCTAATCCAAGCAAGTCGTGTTATTACTATTTAAAATTTTTTATCGTAACAAAATTGCCATTACTTATAAATGACTTAAATAATGCATTTAAAGTGCAATTGGTTATATATTATGCCTTATTTTTTATCATTACAATATATATACTTTTATTTAAGATGAAATAAGTTAACGCACAAATTTTTGGTTTGCTAATTTCAAGCAACCCGTGTTATTACTATTAAATAAGTTTTTAACTTAATCAACTTGACTTTACTTACGGATGACTAAATATTATGAATAATAAAATAGTTAAGCTGGTAAATCTCAAGTTTTGCTAAACTATTAACGCTTTATAAATCCGTTCAGATATTAAACTAAAATTTTTTTATACTTCAATTAAAATAACATATAACTATTAATGTAAATGTTCTTTAATATCTCACTTCATTGTTAATCAAGTAACGAATGTTCTTGCTTAAAACGAATCTATATTTACAATTAGATGACTATGTTTAAAATTAAAATCAACTCCTTTTAAATCTTACGAGTAGCTAAATATTGAGTGTAACGAGTGTTATAACTATTAAACTTGTGTAGAACTTAAATTGAAGTTACCTCGGTGGACTAAAAAATTTGATAACTGCTATGTTAATTAGGTTCGCAATCTCGCTTTACTGATAAACAAGTAACAACTGATTTTACTAATAAATCTATATGTAACATAATCTACTAAACTTAGAGGCTTTTAATGAGTTATATAAATTTATTAGACACGGTTAATTATAAAACTTTTTAACTTAACTCTGAATTAAAGCTCCTCTCTTTAATTTTACCAAATGCCACTATTTATAAAAATAATTTAAGTATATATTAATACCTAATTACCTAAGATTAATAATAATTTAGTTATAAAATCTACAATATTTATTTTTGTAAATAGCAATTTAAACAGACAAATAAATTCAGAGACCTCAACGAACAAAAGATCCGAAAGCAAAAACTGTACCCATAAAAAATCCAGAGCCAATAGCCTGAGCAACTTTATGAATTTTAAAAAAAAAATTTAATTGACGTTTATGAAAAACAAAAAAATGCTAATGTAAAAATTAAAGAAATAATTGTTTCAAAATAATTAAAAAAATTATTCAAAACTTCAATGTAAATAAAATAAAAAATAAAAAATCTTAAATTGAGGCCATTTTATTTTAAGATAGATAGTTTTGTAAATTCTTGACTTCATAAATATAAAATACCACTAAAATTTAAAAATTTATAAATTAATTAATTAAAAAAAATTTATTAAAGATTTCGATATAATAAAACTATTATTTAACAAAATCACGATTTCTAAAAAAGGACAAGTAAAATGTTACTTTATAGAAAATTAAGAACTCTTTAAAATAAAAAAATCTAATAAAAAAGTTCAAAAGGACTTCAATTTTCAAGGTTAACTTGTAAAAGCCACAAAATTTTTAATATTGAAATTAAAATAGAAAAAAAGTTTTTAATACACCTCAGTTATAATTTTTTCTAAAATTAAAGAAGAGCAAAATAAGTAAATAAAGCCAACCTTATATAAAAACTATTATAAATATAAAATATAAACTTTTAGAAAATTATAAAAATTAACAAGTAAAAATATTGAATTAGGTAAGTATTAAATCAAGAACCACGGAATCGGACTTGTCCTAGCAAACTGTGAGCGCCTACAGCAGAGAATCCAATAGCCATCCCCATTACGTAAGACAAAGCAAATTTTTTGCTAAGTTCCTTATAATTCATAACTCTTATAAGTTTAGTAACAACAATGACTCACTTATTATATAAAAATATAAATAAAATTTTGCATAACGAAAAATAACCCAAACAGTGATTATTAAATTACTTTATTAAAAAATAATTTTAAAAGATTAAAAAAAAAGGCAATAAGATAGTCTGCATAACTTAAAAAATCAATAGCTCGATAAGAAAAAGTTTTATAAAAAAGTTTTCAAGACTGCAAGGGTAATAGTAGCTTCTAATTAATTTAAATTACAACTCAGCTAACATATTTGGCAAAAAGCTAATAAAAATATCTTGAGAAATAATGAAAATTAGCATTAGAGTGGGAACTATTTATTAACCTCTAATAAAAAACTATATAGGAAGGATAAAGGTTAAACTTCTTACATCTTTTATGTGTTCAACCGGCCGTTTTCTATTGTAAAAAAATAAAAATAGAAATAAAAAAAATTCTTTTATTAACAAATAAAAGGAAAAAATGTGGTAATCAGACAAAATAAATCGCTTTTCTATGTTTAATCATATGCCGCTTAGTGCAAACTTGTACAAAATAATCACCAATTTTTTTGGTTTTCTTTTGTTAAAATTTACAGTAATAAATATGTAACGGCTAGTTTTCGGCCTTTTTGTGTCATCATTACTACATTCATTCTATAATAAATAAAATAATATTTAAAAGTATAACCTGAAACGTTTAAGAACCAAGAAGCTTCGTAACAGAAGTATAGGAAAAGTCCAAAGTGAGGTTCAGCAATAAAAAATTTATATATCCCTGTAAGCATACCAATCGGAGTGGTTGGTTAGTAGACCCACGTGATTTTCAAATGGAAGGTGTTGTACTATATACTTGATAACGTTTTTATTATAATTATAATGAATTTATCAAATCATAGCTCTTTAATATTTGCTTATAAGGACGGTAATATAAAAGTTGATATATTAAAATTACCTTTATTTTTTTGTAAAAATTAAATCTTATATGAAGCTGCTTAAAAGATAATTTAAATATTAGGAAACAATTACAAAAATTCTACGAGCCGAAATGGTTAAAGTAGCTGTTAAATAAATTGCTATTAAATTTTACTGTGTAAGTACATCTGTATTTACTTAATGATAGGTTTTTTTCATGCCTTATACAACATAATTACTTAATGACTACCACTGAGAAAAATATAAATCTTTACTGTTACAATTTTAGGAATTACTTTGTTAATTGCCAAAGCCTAAAAAGTAAAGTTTACTCGTGAAAGTGTACTTTGTTTATTTTTACTGCTAAATGAACGGTGAAAGAACGTAGAGGGAGATCGTAGGTTTGCTAGTGGGACCACCCAAGAAAACGCATAAAAAAGTGTTGAATAATAAAATACGTATGATAATACTAAATAAAATAAATACATTAAAGATTATATTTTGGTTTTCTTGGGTTGCTACCCTTCGCCTTTTCGTATTAAATATACAAGGGGCTATACAACAGGCTGTGTTTTAATTTGATTTACCTCAGAACATACAGTTCTAATAAATTTCAAAACAGTTATTGATACGTAATGTTTAAACTGTTATATATATTAATTTTTATTATATTATTTTAGTATCCGTAGCACTTAAACAAAAGCAAGTAGAGAGAGGCAAGATACTAGCATGCACTAGCAATAAAGAATTGAAGCTTTCAGCTAGCGCATCCTTTTTAATGTATACCTAAGAAATACTAGAAACTTATGAATGGTGCGTGGCTACCTTTTGTATATATCAGTTTTTAAACTAAAGTATATTTTTGGTTTCTCTAGAAGTCTTAAATTCTAGAAAAACCTAATATATCTTAATCAAAACATTTTTTACTAACTTTTCTAATAAGGCTAGTTCACTTAAAATTATCTAACGTGCTCGAACCTTACATTTTAAAAAAGTAGTTTACTCATAAGCTGTTCCGTCTACATTAAATTGTCTTCTTATTGTTATTTAACATATATTAGAAAACGCTTAGAGCTAAATTTCTGCTAATGCCTCAGAATTATGACCTTTTTTCATCTTAATTTATTATTAAACGAAAAGTTCTTCAGAGCCAATGGTCAATTTACTGAATTACTTTTGATAATAATTAACTAAAAATTATTTTATATATTCCTGCAGGCCGTCTCCAATCCTAATTATTTAGTCAATAAACAATAGATTTTCATGCTGTTACCGACATAGGTGACTTTTTGGTGTTCATTATATAAAGCCAAAGCCTTGCTTTATTGGCAATACACTAATTAATAAAAATTACTAGCAAGTAGCGCCTTAGTTTAGCTGAGATAGTATACTGACTAGAAGCAATATAAAGATCCATATTCGCCCTCTAGATTCTAATATTTAAGCATCTTAATAGGGGTTGGCATTATGTGGTGAACAGAAACAAAGTATAAGATTTTCAGCTATCTTAGCTTCATGTTGGTGTGCTTTACTGATAATTCTTAGGCGACTGGTACTTAGTAGGTTGGATGTTAAGTTGAGCCGACTGATGAGTCAATAAAATTAAAAATATCCTAAAAAGTTTAGTATATATTTATAAAGATGAATGAAATTTTAGATTAGCTAGTAGAAAATAAACAGGCGAAAAGCACATGAGACCATAAAATTTACGATATACTTCCAAATAACAAACTTGCACTCTGAACTAAGATAACCTCCATTACATTATTTTAGTTAAAGTTTTATTAAAAAAAACAATGCTTTTTTATGAACTATCATATAATTGAAACATAAAAAATGCATTTTCATACCGGAAAATAGGGTCCTAAGTGACCAACACCATTGATAATAAGATTAACACAGTATTTTTTTTTCTTTTTTTGTGTTCTCCTTCATTTTTTATATATTTATAAAATTTTAGTATTCTTCTCTTTCATTTTATTTTGTTGATTTTCGTCGCCAAACCGTAATTAGCGCCATGTGAAATGTAAACCCTTTACAGTAACAGCTACGCAGAGAACTGTACATAAATATTATGTAGTATTTTCCACTGCGGTGCTTTTCATCTTTAGTATTATAGTAAATATTATGTAAAAATTGTTGTAATAGTGATGGTAATATGCAGATCGACTTGTTATCTAATAAATTATCACCAGCTGAATCTTTGTTTCATTCCTTTATTATAACCACTATTTTTATTTTAAGTCTGTATATTTGGAAAGATCCTGCTCATAGGTAAGTTGTGACTAATTTTATTTTGTAAAAAAACACTTACAAATCATAATTTTTATATTATATTGATATTAAAATATTTGAAAACTTCTTAGTACTAAGCTTTGCTCTTAAGTATGTTGAAAGGCTGTACGTGGTTTTTTACTTAACTAAAAATAAATTACCAAATTACTTTAATAGATTTTATCATAACTAATTTGTTCGCATTTAGTTACTTTATTTTTTATAAAATATATAAAGTTTATTTTTTATCTTTAATATTAGAGATCATCCAATTGTTATTAAAAAAAGATGTATAAGTTTTCTTGTCTGCTCTATTTTTTCTTGTATTTACATAAATGCACTCTTTCATTACCGGATTGAGGACCAAAGAAAGTTTTTTTTTTATCTTGCATTATCCTCTTTTATTCTTACTCACCACACACGCACATATATTCTTAATAGAATCTCTAAAGCACTCCGTTAGTACTTGCTTGGGATTTTCTATTGATGCTTACGCTTTGGCTTCCGCCTGTGTTTCCTTATTATTAACATTTATTCTCTTCCTTGGGCCTGTTGCTAAGTTTTATTGTGATGATTGTTATATAAATTCTATTACTGAAGTCTTAAAAGAGGCAAGGAACTGCTTATATAGTTCAAAGTTTTGGAGAGATTATGTGGTGGTACTGCTGAAAATTTTTTGAAATCTCTAAATCCAGCTAAAGCATATAATAAATTATAGATAAATTCACGTTTTTTACTTTTAAATTAATTTTTTTTTTATAAATTATTAAAAATCTGCAGGCTCCCGTTACCGAAGAAATAATCTATAGAGGTTGCCTTTTTCCTTTACTGGCTCCCACTTTTGGCCGAAATTTATATATTTTAATTAATTCAATCTTTTTCGGATTGGGTTAGTGAAATTTCAAAAGTAGATTTCATATTATTTATATTTTAAAATATTTTTTAATTTAAAAAAATTGATAAACCAAATTTTTTTAATCAAGTATAATTCATTTTTTTTAAATTTTATTAACTATTTTTAAGTTCTTTTTCTTTTTTAGCACACTTTCATCATCTTTTTGAACATCGCCACTTGCCTTGGCCCTCTTGGAAGAAGAAATTTCATCTATCTAGTAAACTAAAAAATTGCAAATATAGAAATTTGTTTAATATTTTCTTTTTTACTTTTAGTTATGCAAAGTGGATTTACATTTACTTTCGCCATTTATAATACTTACTTTTACTTGTGCACAGGTTTTTAATCTTAACCCTTACCCTAATAAATTAAATTATTTTGTGATTTAATATTAATTTGTTTAAGTAGATTACTTTTTTTAATATAGATTTTTAATTTTTTATTATTATAATTAATATTACTTGAATAATTAAATTCCAGTTAACTTTTTTTTTATGTTAAACTTTCCATCCTCATAATAATTTTTCAAAGTAATTTGAAATTAATTTTTTTTTTAAATTCTTTTCTACTTTATTGTACATTTTTATTACATTTAGTTTTCTGTTATAAATTATTTTAAAAAGTTTTCCTTAAAATAATTTTGAATCTTTTAATCTTTATTGCAGTTAATTTTATAATTACGTATACTTTTAATTTTTATAACTAATTTAATTATTTATATAATATAAATTAATTTTAGAAGTTAAACTTTATAGAAATTACTATATATTTACTTATATATATATATAACTTTTATAGTTCATTAATTAAAAAAGCATTTTTTAACTTTTCTTTGTAATTTTTTAAAAAAATCTAAAAAATTTTAAATTTATTTTTTTAAGGAAGAATTCTCACTCCTATTGTGATACACATACTTTGCAACGCTATTGGATTTCCTAGATTTCAAGAAATTGCTTCACACCCACATCGCAAAGGTGCGTTTTTTTTACCTTTAATTTATTTAAAAGGCATTGAGAAATTATTAGCGGATTGTATAAGAATTACGTTTAATATGAAACTTTCCCTCTATTTTTTGATGCAATTTTTAATTTTTAAAAAAAAATTAGTTTTAAAAATCTTATTTTCAAAGTTTTTTTAAAAATCAACTCAATTTGTAAAAGTAAAATTTTAAAAACTTTTCGAAATTGCTTTTAAGGGCTGTTTTTTTTTAATGAAAAAGTTTACTATCACAATCTCATTCTTAAGCAAAGAAAAATGGATTTTTCAATTTTAATTTATTTATTATTATAAGGTAAAAGTAAGTGAAAAAATGAAGGAAAATTATGATATTCTTTTCTTTTGTAAGAAAAAAAGTATTTAGTAAAAAAATTTTAAAGTTCAAATTATAAAAAATAATAGGATTTTTATAGTATAGGATTTGTATACTTATAAATTTTCTTTTATGAGGATAAGAAAGATTTAATTTTATAAAGAATTTATTAATCAATTTAAATTCTGTGCGCAGGAAAAAGTTTACTTTTAATAATTTTTCTTTAATAATAATCTAAAAATAAAAATCAATAAACTTCCTTTAGGATGAAAAAGTTTTAATTTTTTAAAAAATTTATGTGACAGGAAGAAATTAATTCCATAAGAATTTACTAAGCAAATTAGGATTCTTTGCGCATTGTTACTAGGATGCTCTTGCGTGAGAGAATTAATTTTTAATAATTAAAAAAAAAATTGCTTACCATAATTGTATATTTAATTAAAAGTTAAAAAGAAACCGCGGAAAAGATTGATTACCCAAGTAAAATTTTATATTATTTTTTTAATGAAGAAAACTTGAGAAAGAACTTGATAGGAAAAAATTATTATAAAGGAATTGTATATACTTACCTATTTAAAAGGAAAAAGAAGGTAAAATGCTTACCAATCAAAATTAAAAAGAGGATAAAATGCTTATCAATCAAAATTAAATTCATTATTGTAGAAAGGAAATATTATAATAGGAAAAGGGAAAAAATGTTTATTGTAATGAAATTATATTCTTTTATCAGAGAAAAAAACCTGAGAAAAAATATTATGAGAAAAGGGACTAAAAATAATGTTTACATAACAAAATTATATACTCTTTTTTTTTTTTACTTATATAATTTTTTTTAAGTTAACTCCTTTTTTTTTGAGAGCTACAAATGCACTTTTCTTTCGTTTTTCGCCGAGTTTTTTACGTTTTTGTATTGCTAAGCTATCCAACACATAATAAGGTTTTTTGTAGGTTAAAGGTTAAACTAAAAATTTCTATAATATAGTTAAGTTAGCCTTAAAAAAATGTTGACTTTAACTAAGATCTGCACGAAACGGACATTTACAATTACTTACATTTCATTTTATTTTTTCTTTAAACCTTAAAGAATATTCGTAGATAAGTTTTTTCCGTTAGATATATTTGATATTAATAATCTCTTTCTTTAGGCCTCATAATACTTTTTTTGGGAGGACTAATATCTTTTATTATTATGTGCTTCGTTTTGAGCGGAAGAAACTTTTGTAAACCTTTAAATATCTAAATAAATCGTAATTAACTCTGGTATATGCTTATAATATCAAGTTCAAAGTATGAATTAGAATAGATAAAATTCCTAGTAGCATTACAGCCGATAATGCTTTAAACTTATACGAATAATATTGGAAACTTTATTTATTCGAAATATAATTCGGTTGTGGCTTCGCAGCTTTGCAATTTTCTATACTTGCAATGCTCGTTCGCGTCGTTAAAGCTAATTTAAACAAATTTTTACGGAACAGATGCCAAACAATATTTAACTATTGACTAGAAAGTTTGAAGAAAGGCTTGTAAGGGGCGTCTAACTGTCATTTACAATTCCACCCAGAAAAAAAAAAAAATTAAAGACTATGCGTTAATTAGTACCATTGGTGAGACAATAAAAAAGTATAATATAGTATAATAATTGCTAGCTCCATATAATAAACAATATTATGTAGCATGTAGAACGTTCTGAAAAAATTTGTAAAACCTCGTTTTACCAAGTTTTTACAAAACATTTCAACTTATATGAATATTTCATAATTAATCTAAGCTATGTATAAAACCCATATTATCAATTTTTTATAAAAAAAAAAATTCGAAATTCTTAAATTAAGTGTATAACTCTAATTATAGTTTAATTGAACATTTCGTAGCGAAACCACTCGTGTCTTTTTGTAAAGCTTACAAAACATTTATAAATTTTACTTTAGATGTACAATTTGATTGTTCTACATGGGCAACCTCTAACGCCTTACAAAGTAAAAGTCCTAGCAAAGTTGAGTGTTTCTGTGCTATGTTATAATCTGGCGAGGAAACGTAAATAACGTAAACTTATTTTTAATGGAAACGAGTAATTATTTAACTGATACTGCGTTCAGTTTACACTTTGCGAGTAGGCAGAAAAATTTTTTAAAACCCCCTTTTGTTTTTTTAAAAACTCTTGTATGCACATTTGGGTACACCCTGCTAACAAGAAAGTTTTATCCGCTACAAAGAAGTGGAGGATACTAAGTTTGAGCAATAATTTAATGAAAGCGCTAGGCAACCTTTGCTAAAACGAAGAACTATGGACGACGCCCATAAAGTTTTACGGCAAAGCTACGCGCCGAAAGATCTATAGCGAGTCTAGCAGGAGAATATCAGTACTCTACGTCATATGGTGGAGTATATATATATTACCGGCGCTGATCGTTTCAAGTTGCTGCACGTGTGGGAAAAACCATTCCGCTAAACTAATGAGATAAAATAACCAACTTTTTCAAGAGTAATTTTTTTTTAGTGCCTAGGGGAGTTGCTATCTCTTTAACCTAATGTTATGTAGGCGATAGTTTAGTTGCATAGAAAAACGAGAACTTAGTTTAGGAGGTTTTTATATATTTTTTAATACCGAGATGAACATTATTTTTCTAATGTTAGCTCGTGATCTAAGTTTGATTCGTATTTAAAGAGCAAATGTAAAAATGGGTTTTCGGTTTTTTGGAGATGGGCTCATCTTTAATGGAAAAATCTGAAGCTGCTGTTAAATACAAGTTTCCTCATGACTTAGCTGAAAGCGTGGGTGTATTGCTTGAAAATGACTATGAAATCTTATGGCAATTTATTAAGGTACCTTGCGAGGAAAAATTATCTAACAATAATCCACTAAAAAAAGTAGAATATTATACTATTAATAAAGCACATGTAAGAAGGTTTAACTCAGCTTAATATTGCAAGTGTCTAATTAATTTTTTATTATAATAGAATTTGTAGTGTATATAATGAGATTACTTGAAGTAAACCATTTTATATTGTGTCCATTGTAATTCAGAGCCTTGAACGCACGTTACGCTTAAAGTTGTAGTCGGAGAGCTAGTATTATAGCTCACACAAGGTTGTTAAAATTTTTCAGTATGGTCAATTCTGGCTCCCCCCGCCCGTAGTCGAGGTTAAACTGCAGCGCCTACAACTAGAATGTCACATAGGGGAGAGAAAAACAGTCCTACCGAATTACCTTGCACCGCACCTAAGAACAGCTTGGGGTTAGCGAAGTTGTTTACACGCATATTTAAACTAAAACAACGCACGATAACCATGAATGACATTACTGAGCACTTGTAATTTCAGATAAACCTTCTAATTGGCTGAGTGGCACTCAGCAATTCTGTTTCTTTAGGTGAGCTTCAAGTAAACAGTATTTAAAATTTATGACTTAAAGTTTTTAGTTGCTCCTTCTAACTTTACTGCCATGGTATTTCATGCAAAAACCGTTTTAAAGAAAAAAAGTAAGACACGCTCATAAGAAGTATAAGGATGTGTATCTTATACTCTATATACACATAGCAAGAAAGTATATGAGCGCAGCACTGAGCGTACCTTTCATTAGTTGATAACACTCGTAAGCCTTAATTAAAACTTTATAGTCACCTATATCATTTGGTTTGTATATGAAACTGTAGCGCCTTCAGCCAAAATTGCAATGCAGGGGAAAAAATTAAAAAAAAAGAGGACACCCAATGCGCACATCTTATCTGCCTTTTGCTTTGTATTAATAACTTGTATACATATTTCTTTGGAAACAAATGCAAATTACTTAACTATATATAGTTAGCCTGAGTGCAAAAGAATCTTTACGCTCGCGTTTTTTACTACAATGTAACTGGTTAGACATACGTAAAATTATCAAACCGGAATCGAGAGTTTCGTAGTAGCTCATTGGCTAAGAGCATTTATGCGCACCTTAAGGTCGTGGGTTTGATTCCGACCGACACGACCATTTTTTTCGGTCTTGGGTGGTTGAGTATTTTGGACATTTCTTAGTATTTACTTAATTATGACATTCGGGTTTTAGTCAGTAAATAAAGTTGCCCTAAAAAGATAACAGAAATGACTTTTTTGTAGACGACTACATAAAATAAAACCAAGAATTAATATATAAGCTAGTCAAAACTAGTTGTAAGCCTAAGAAAAAACTGCGAAACTGAATAGCTTTTGTGTACTGCAAAGCAAAAGTTAAAACTAAAGCAGCATTCCATCCTGTTTTCATTACGATAAAAAGAAGTTAACTGAATAGTATGGCGGTCCCCTTCCCGAGTTTTTTTTAAATTCTTTGATTTGAGTTAATATTTATAATTATAAAGTAAAAATAAAAGCAACGTTATTTTGACTGTTGCAATATTGTCTATTCTTAGATCCTACACAGTGGCAGACTTAGAAAAAGTAAGGGGAAGAAGAATAAAAGGGCAAAAAAAGGTGGCTTATAAGATCCCTACTGAGATATTAATGAACACAAACATGATATATACAAAGCTTTCAAATTGAGGGTGGAAAGTGGATATATCCAGTGAAAGATTTTTGCATAAAGATATTTTTTTTTATATCTTATAAAAAAGTACTACAAATTATAAGCTCCTACACAAATATATGTAACTGTCTTACACAAATCTTTTGTAGTTCTTCTGCTTGTGTTACAGTAACAAAAAATATTATTCGATCTAATAATATCAGTCAGTACCATTCAACTTAAAGTAAAGTTAATTATGGTAACCCAGGGTTACTAACCGGATCAACTTTAAAGACAAGTGATCAGAAAACTTGAATAACTAATTCAAACTAGCAACAACACAAAAGTTAACAAAAGGAGGCTAGACGGCTGTTTTAGCTACAGCTGGGCGCTTTTTAGAGAGGGAACTCTGCAGATAGTCAAATTTCAAAGTAGATCACCTGGTCCTAACAAATATGGAGCCACAAAAGATATGCACATATATAGCTAGTTTACATTGTCCTCGCTATCAGATAAATAAGCAAGGTGGTACGCATATCAATTATTTCAAAATTACGCAAGCGTTTATTGTTGTTCACAAAACTATTTTAAATTGCTTTAAAAATAAATGGAATTGTAATTTCTAATCCACAAAAAGCGTTTGCTAAAATCTTATTTGTTAAGATAACCCAATCCCAATAAAAGACCACAATTACAGAGCTATTGCCATATATAGAATTTTTTTTTATTGCGGTTAAAGTTCTTATATTTGTTAAATTTTAATATAAAATAAATATTTTCTTCAGCAAATAAGCACTTGTTAGCAATGACAAATAAAGTCAATTAATTAATAAACAGAAATTATTTAACTTTTCAATGTTGTGTAGCTTAATAGCCTTCCTGAAAAACACGATCGATCTATTGATGAAAATCTTCGTTATTCGCGTTTAACGATAACTTGTATATTTTATTTTTAAGAAAAGCATTAAATAGCGCTACATTTTGCATGGCTAACACTGTTCTTTAATGAGCCAATGGGCCTTCGCTGTTTGCCAGCATCGGATTTTTCCTTTAACGTATTCAAAAATGTTTTTATCCATAGAATTAGTTAGCAGATAAGTGTCGATATTTACTTTTTACTAAATTCTGTAAGCAAAACTTAGACGGCAAGCAACTTAGCTGCTTTTTAGTAAATAAATATTGCGAGTATATTAATTTTATTGTTTAAGGAATTATTTATAATTTCAGGCTCGTTTATTGTTAATTTTTGACTTGTACTTAAATTTTTTTTTAAAAGTATATAACCTTGTAACCTTTATTAAATAACTGTCTTGTTAAATGTGTTTTTTAAAAATTAGTTAAAAATTTTACTAAATAGTCAAAAAGATGCATTTTTAGTTTTTTTTAAGTTTTCATTGTTGCTGAGCTTTTTGCTGTACATAACAGATTTTTAACTTATAAAAAAAAAAAAAGAGAACTGTTTTATGACGCCTATTTTTTCGAAGCCATATATAGCAGGATCTTTTTTGTTGCACTTGCAACTTTTCGAAGAACCAAAAGCTAAAGAATTTGTTATTTATATATTTTTAATATTTTTGTTATCAATTTTATTCTTTTATTATTGTAGCTTCTCTTTTATGAGGCAACTATTTATCAGAAAAGTAGCAATAAATCTCTCGATATCTCCATTTTATTCAATCGTTATATTAATTCTGACGCTGTTTTATCTGTACGTTTACCTTGTGATCTTGCGCTTGACGGCGATCGAAGTAGCATTCTTAACGAAGTAAATTTTTTTTAATTAAATATTAATTTAAGAAAACTAATATTATAATTTGATAGATTTGTGAGTGCATTTATTCTCGTTTAGAAACGCTATACCAAACTTTTGTTAAAGACCTTGCTGAAGGTTGCTTGTCTTTTTTTAAGAACTTTAAATAATAATGTATATTTTATATGCAATTTATTCTTAGCTTTAAAAGTTTTATATATTTTTATTATATCCTTAATTTTAATTTTTGTAAATATTAATATATTTTAGTTAATATTTTTTTAAAGCAAGTTAACTTAAATTTATTATTATTATTTTTTATACAAATTAAAGAAACATTTAGAAGGTTTTAATTATTTTTATTTTAATTTTGTTATTTATTATTCTTTTGAATGTAATTAATTTAACTTTTAATATTATTCTAGTCGAATTATTTAAAACATAAAGTTTTAATTACTTTTAATTTATTTAATTATTCTATATTTTGTTATAAATTTATATTTGTTTGCGTTATCTTATGAAAGCAATTAAAATTTTAGAAATATTAACATTAATTATTTTTGGCAAATTTTCTTTTAAAAACATTTAGATTTTTTAATTATTATTTTTCTGATTTTATTTTTGGCTAAAATAAACTTTAGTATATCTACTTTTTTTAAAGCACTTTTACTTTTAATATTGATGGTAATTTACATTATTTTATTTAATTATTTGGAATATTTAGAATTGTATTATCTTTATTTTTATTTTTGATTTTAATATTGGTTAAAAAAAATTAAATTTAATGTATTTTTTAAAGTATTTTTATTTTTAATGATAATAATTATTATTTTATGCAGATTATAAGAACATTTAAATATTTTCGTAATTTTTATTTTATTATTGACTTTAATTTTGGTTGAGATAAATTTTATTATATGTATTTTTATTAACAATAAAAATTACTATAATAAAGTTTATGTATAGAATAATTTTTTATATACTTTTTTTTTACTTTATTTGTTACTTTTCTTTAAAGTTTTTTTTAAGATTAATTAAGTTAACTTTATATAGTTACTAATTTTAACTCAAATTATTATTTATTATTAAATTTCAAATAATTAGTTATAAAAATATAATTTTTTTATTTTATAAATGATTATTACTGATTTCTGTATAAATAAATATTTTAATTTAATCTTATTTTTAAATTAAATACATTTTTCCTAATGAATAATAACTTTCAAAAATTGTATAAAAAATTATAATAATTGTCAATTTTTAAATTAAAAAAATTATTAATATAATATAATTTTTACAAACTCTTTTAAGTATAAAATAGAAAGAGCAACTATTTTAAAAAAAAACTTGAATCTTAAATTTTAAAAAGAAAATGTTTATAAAAATTATAAAGCAAAAAATTTTAGATTATTAAATTTTTAATTTAAATTTTTTCTTACTCAAAAAATTTTATAGTCTTAATAATTGCATTAAAATTTAAAAATTTTTTGTTTCTTGATTAATGCTTTCATATTAACTCTGTATAATTAAGTAAATGAAATTTTTTATTAATGTGAAAACTCTGAAAAGTATAATTACTTTTATTATATAATTATAATTTTTTTTAATGTTATTTAAAAAATATTTTTTCTAAAATATAATAAAACATTATATTTAGTTTTTTTATTTAAAGTTTAATCTATAAATATTTACTAATTCTTCAAATTTTTATAACATTTTTTTAGATTAAAAACTAATTAAAAATTATTTATAATAATAATTAAATTATTAAACTTTTATTATATATTTCTTTATAAATTTAAATTTTTAGAACTTTAAACTATAATAATTTTTTTATTTACTAAATTTTAAGATATTTAGAAAATATTTTTAGCAAAATTAAAAACTTAACTTATACTTAATTTAAAAAATTTTAAGTGCACAATAATCAAATTTATTACTAGTATTTATTCTAAATTTTATATAAAAGCTACTTTTTTTAAAAAAAATTTATAAAATTTTTAATTTTTTTTTAATGTATATAAAATATTTTAATTCTGTTAATTTTATAAAACTTTATAGCGAATATAATTTTAATAATAAAAAAATTTACTTATTAAATTGTTATATATTAAAAAATTTATGAGAATTTGTATTTTAACAAAATTAGTTTGTATTTTTTTAATTAATAATAAATATTTATTACATGAGAAAATTTGTTAGAACTTTTTTAAGAGAATTATTAAAAGTACAATTTTTTTTTGAATATAATTATTTTAAAAAAATTTTATTGTATAATGTGAAAAATTAAAATAATTATTAAGCGAACTTATAAAAAAAATTTTATATTACCAAATATTAAGAAAATATTATCTCTAAACTTTCTTTTTAAGAAATTTATATACTGTTTTTCCTTAAGAAAACTTTTATTAAATTTTATAAATAGAAAATTTTTTTTTAAGCAGAATTATTAAAAAAGAGTCAACTTAATTTTTTTTTTTATGTATATAAATAATATTACGCAAAGAATATGCTACTAATATTTATTATTAAAAATTTTTTCTAATAGCAAATATTTTTTAAAAAGATTATTTAAAAGTAAAATTTTTTTGATTAGAATAAATCTATGTAATGATTATTTATTTAACAGTTTTTTTAGGGGAATTATATATAAACATTAATTAATATTTTATATAAATCATTAAATAATTTTTTATTTACAGAATTATTAAAAAAATTTTAAGTATTTTTTTTTTTTTTAATATATTAAGTAAATTTATTAAGAAAAAAATGAATTATTAAAAATTTTAATTAATAAATTTTTTAAAATAAATATGAGTAACAAAACTAATTATAAATAAAAAATAAAAAATTTATAAAAATGAAAGCATTTATTAATATTATATAAAAATAAATATTTATAATAAAAATAAATGAAAGTTATATAATTAAAAAACTTTTTAAGCGAATATTATCTGAAAACAGTTAAGAAACGAAATAATGTAATAAAAAAATATAAATAAATAAATCTTTATAGAAATAAGTAAAAATAGAAACTAATAATAATAAAAATATTAAAAAAAATTATTGAAAAACTTCTTTTAACTATTTATAAATAAATTATTATATAAATAATAAAAACATTAAAAATTCTATTATTTAAAAGTTTTTACACGAATTATTTAAAAAAAAATAAAAAAAGTCACGAATAAACTAAATAATTATAAATAAATAATCATATAAATGATATAAGCATTTAATGATAAATAACTTTTGATTGAGAAAAATTTAAAAACTTTAATTTATAAATTATTTGAAAACAATTAAGTATTAAAATAATGAAATTTAATAATAATAAATAAATCGCAAAAATAATAAAAGCATTTATTAATATCTAAAAACTAATAATAAAAATTTAAAGTAATAAAATTTTTTTGCGGAAGTATTTGAAAATATGATTTTATTTATTTTTGTTATAAAATTTTATGAGTAAAATTTATTATTAATTTTTTTTTTTACATCATAAATTTTTTATTATTTTTATTTATTTTATTTTATTTTTAATATGATATTTTTAAATTATATATATATATTTATTATATAACATTTTTATTTTACTTATCTACAAATAAAACCTTTACAAATAAATAATTTTTATAAGCAATTTTTCTTTTAAAAGTATGACTAATTTATAAAACTTATGAGTAAACCTTATTAATTTTTTTATAAGTGGTATAATAATTATATAAAAATCCCGATTAATAAAGGTATATTTAAAATAATTTTTATTTACAAATTTTTTTATTTATACTATTAAAAAATACTACTGTATTAAATTTTTTTTTTTAAAACAATAAGTTTTGAACTTTTGTTTATAATTTTTAATTATTATTTTAGTGAAAAATGTTTTTACTAAGTTTGAATTTTTTTTATTTCAGAAATTGTGAACGTCATTTTTTAAGTACTTTTTAGTAGATTTTCAAAAACAAATATAATGAATTTTTTTAAAAAATAAGAGAATTTTGCGTCATTTTATTGTAAGTACTTTTTATGTAGATTTTTAATAACAATTATAATGAATTTTTTTATAAGACAATTTTATTGAAAATTTTATAATTTTTTTTTTGTTTTTACTCATTATAAATATTTTTTTTATTATAAAAAATTGTAAATGTCATTAGATTTCAAGTACTTTTTATGTAGATATTTAATAAAAATTATATTAAATTATATATATATATATATATAGAGGAATTTAGTTTAAAAATTTAGTAATTTTGTAAACTTTTAAGTTTTTTTTTAATTTTTAATTTCTGTTACTATAAAAAAGTAGTGAACTTTTAATGTAGATTTTATTAAATAATAAATTATGAATTTTTTGTGAACTAAAATTTTTTATTTAGATATTCAATAGTTTTGTAAATTTTTATTAAAAATTGTAAACGTCATTTATTTAAATACTTTTTATGTAGATTTACTAAATTAATTATAATGTATATATATTTATTTATATAAAGAAAGAATTTAGTTTAAAAATTAATTAGTATTTTAAATGTATATGTTTTCACCAATTTTTTTAAAAAAAATTGGAACGTTATTTTATTATAAGTACTTGTGTAGATTTTAAAAATTCTGATGGATTTTTTTACACAATAAAATTATTTTAATCATAAGTTTTAATTAGTATCAATTTGCAATTTCAATTTTTTTTTCTAAATTATTTTTATATATTATAAAAATTATTAAAATTATTTATAACTTCTTTAAGAAACGTTTTTATTAAATAATTAATTTGGGATCATTTTATAGTAAATTTTTTAAAATTTTTGTTAGTAATTACTTTCTTTCTTTCAAATTCAATGGATAATAGAAAACTTTTTTATAATTTTTGGATAATTTTGAAAGAATTAAAATAAATTGTAAAAGTTAATATTAACTTTTATATCGTAATTTTTTATTATAACCAAATAAACTTTATAAGTTTTAACTTTTACAAACGATTTAATATTAATTGATTTTTAGTTTAATTTTTAATTGTTTTATTATTTATATTTTATCTTATTATATATTTTTCATATAATATTAAAAATTTATTAAATATAGAAAAACTTTGAAGAAGTAATTTTATAATTTTTTATATAAATTTTAATAAAAATGGGTTATTCTATAATTTTGTTGAATTTTATTACTCTAATAACCAATGAACTTGCTTTATTTGTTCATTATATTTAATAACTAGAAAAATCACGTGTAATAATAAAGACTATTTTTATTGCCATTTTTTAGTGGATATTGTATAAAAATTGTATTTATAATTTTTTTTATATTGAAGAATGATTGGTTATACTTAATTTTCGGGATTTTTATAGAAAAAAATATGATATGCTGTAAATATTTTATTAATGATTATTATTATCATTTGCTTTTTATTTATTATTATTTTTGTTTTTAATATTATTATTATTATTGTATATTATTATTTATAATATATTATTTATTATTATAATTATGGTTTATATGTTTATTTATATTTATTTATTATTATTGTTGCCAACTTTTTTAGATGCAGCCTGTACTGAAGATTTTTTAAGCATTAATAATAATAAAGAAAAGTTTGAAAAGGTTATGGGTATGTTTTTCTATAGATTCTATTATTATAAAAATAATAGAATCTATTAGCGAAAGTAAATAGTTTACTATAATTAATAAAATATAAAATTATATAGAGTTTATAAGTTTTATGTGAAATTTAAGGATTTTTTTATTATTAAACAATAATTATAAACTTTAAATTAATAAAAGTTTGAAATTTTTAATATAAACATAAAAAGTTTATGTTTTATTTATAATTTAAGAAAAGTTTTTTAACAAAAATACTTTTTATATATTTTATTATAAAATATTAAAAGTTTTTAAGTTTCTTATAAAATTTTAAAAGTCTTTCAGTACAAATAATGATTAATTTTATTTAGTTTATAAGGTTTATATAGAATTCAAGAAAAGTTCATTTTTACAGTAAATAATAGTAAACTAGAATAAATAAAAGTTTATATATTATTTTTTTAAGAATTGGGAAGGTAATAAATAAGTTTATATATAAAAGTGTAATAATAATCTTTATATGTGGTAACATTGAAGAGTTTTTTTTTATTTAAAATAAAAAGTATTACTTTTTTAGAACTGAAAATGTTTTGAGTAAAATTTTTTACGATATTTTATTGTTAAAAAGTAAAAAAAAACTTTTTATTTCTAATATATAAATTATTCAATAAACTTTTTATAAAATTTAATAAAAAAGTTATTTTCTATTTTCTATTTTTCCCTACTAAAAAAAAAATATATTAGTTAACTTCTATAAACTTTTTATGTAATTTATTTTTTCTCAGCCTCTCTACAAACACGTGCTTCTGATGCTGAAAATGAAAGTTTTTACCTTCTCGAGCGTTTTCTTTTTTTCTTTTACGATCTGAATATAAAAGTTGATATGAAGGAATATATGGAAACTGTGAAGCTCACACCAGCGGAACTCAGTAATTTGTTTATTTATATTTTTAAAAAAAGGTCGAAAAATGGATATGTTGAGCTAATTTGTGTCAGTTTATGGTCATATGGCGTATTTTGCGTACGTATTGGCACATTATTAATATAATTTTGTAAAGCTGCGTGAAGAGTTTATTGCCTAGTTGTAATCAGCTTATGTATAGTATGGCGCATATTGCGTGCTAATTTGGTACATATTATATAAAAATTCTTTAAAATGCATCTGTTTAGCTAATTTGTGTCAGGTTATGTACATATTTGTGCATTATTAAGGTGCTTGTGAAGCTGCGTGGAAAAAATGCACCTTTTAGCAAAGCTGCGACATTTTATGTCTTACCTGCGCTTATCGTGTTGCGTATTGGTACGTTATTGCGTACACTTCTTTAAAAATTAAGAAAACTGCACCTTTTTTTTTTTATAGCTAATTTGCGTACTTATTTTGTTGTTTGTATACTTTCATTAAGAAGTATGAATAACTTGATAACTACTTAATGTATTTGGGGTGGTGTACATATAAGATACCCAAATAACGTACAAATTGATACAAAGAATGATTTTTATTGTATTTACTGACTCTGGCTTATAGTAAGCATATTTGTATTTTTTAATTAAACCGCACCTGTTTATGTAAGTTGCGTCCGTTTTTGGACAAATAGGCGTTTAAACGGTAGATAAATAAGTTTTAGCAAATGTTTATTATTTATAAATATTCGTGCCTGTGATCGGAACGAGCATTTCGTTTTTTTATAACCTAAATTGCATCCGTTTGCGTGATATGTGTACTTCCGCAAATAAAATGAATTATAAACCACTAAAGCGTTATGGAAAAGAGCCAATGAAATGATTTATAGATACACAAATTAAAATAACATTAACTAAAGCGTTTACAAAAAGAGCCAATAATGTGATATATAAATGCACAACTTAAAATAAAAGTAACTACAGCCTTTGTAAAAAGAGCCGATGAAATGATTTAAAAATTACACAAATAAATAATTAATTAAAGCGTTAAAAAAGGAGCCAATGACACAATTAATAATGCACAACTAAAAGAGCCAATTAAGGTATGAAAAAAGACCCGTATAACGAATTTTTTGTTATAAATATTCGACTATTATACATTTTGATAAGAGCATCACAATAAAATGTGCTTGTATAGCTAATTTGCGTCCTTCCAGTGGTTATTTGTCCACATGTTAGTAAAAGCATTATTAGTAATTTACCTTTTTCAAACCATCCAAAAACCTCATCCTTATGAATGAGTTGTGTCCGATTATGTGCAATATGCGCTTATGACAGTTATTTGTTACCTTAAAAATTTATAATATTTTATAATAAAATATAAAAATTATAAATATTAATAATGAAATAATAAAGTTTTATTTATAATATAAATAATATTACTTTTACTTTTTGTTTGAACTTTTTTAAATTTGTAAATATTAAAAAGAATATAAGATTTTTAATATCATTTTTGAAAATACTAAAACAATATTTTATGAATAATTATAACGATATATCATAATAATTACATAATATTTTAAAATTTTATAAAATAAAAAATAATATCGTATCTTTAAATTATAACATTTATTATACATTTAAGCTAAAAACTTGTAAGAAGAAAAAACATAAAATAAATTTTTATTAGTTAATAGTTTTATGTTAAAATTTTGTAATAAGTAGAAATTGTATATATAGTTAGCGCATGTAGCAGAAGCGAGCCGGTGAAGGAGTTTTTTGGAAAGTAAAAAGCACTGAGTTTTTATTGGCCACTGCACACAGTATTCGTCCAATAAAAAGATGCTATGTTTTTATATGCAGGCGTGCCTTCCTCTGAGTAACTCAGGGCCGGCTTTATTTTTTTGGTTAAAAATATTGTGAACCAAATTTTTTGTAATATTTATAAAATTTTCAGGAATAATAAAATAATTAATAGAATATAGAAAAGATTGTAAAAATATAATGAAAGGAGTTAAATTTTTTATGTTAAAAGTATATAAAGTATAAAAATAATGAAAATATATTTTTATTGAATAGTAAAAAGTTTATATTTGGAAAAAAAACTTTTAAATAGTATTTTATTATAATTAATATTTATTAGTTACAACTTTATAATATAAAGAAATGAATACATAAAAAAAAAGTTTTATAGTATAAATTATTATATATAAGTTTAAAGGAAAACTGTCAAAATAATATATTCAATTCTAATAAATAAAAAATAAAAATGATTGAATAAACTTTTATATAATATTTAAATTTTTATTATTTACATAATAAAAAGTGAAATATTAATATAAAAAATAATATTTTACAAAATCCATATATAAAGCTTCTTTTTAATATAAGAGTAAGAGAGCAATTTAAATAGTTTCTTAATATAAATAAAAGATAAATTATATATTAAAATTATTGTATAATGAAAATATAAAAACGATAATTATTATAAAAAATACTTCAGAAAAAAATTCATTTTACTTTCATATGAAATTTTATTAATTATTAATGTTTAAATAAAGTTTGCCATAATATAAAAATCTATAAAGAAAATAGTAAATTGTTGTATATAAAAATTTTTTTTATAAAGAAATTATATATTAAGCAAATTCGAAGTTCGACAGCGAAACTTCATACTTTTTTCACTAGAAAAAAAATAAAAGTTTTAAGCTTTTTTAATGCCCATGGAATGGTCCAGCGAGCACATGATGGGCCGCTACACTTCATTATTTTTTTTTATATATTTTTTAGGTGGGGGGAACGTAAAACCTTTTTTAGAGTTGAGTTGATTTTAATGGGTCCAAAAAACCCTCGCTTTTAAGTGAGGGCTAACTTATTTCTTTTTTTTATTATTCAGCACAAAAGTTTTTAATATTTCTTTATTCTTTATGTTTGTTATACAGATCAATTTTACTTATTATAATATCGTAATATAATAAAAACTTTATTTTTCTGGCACGAAAATTTATTATATCATAAAAAAATATCCTTTTTTACGTTTTTGGAGTATAAAAAAGTTTATTCTTCTAATAAATGAAAGAAAAAAGAATATCTTTTTATTGAGCTTTTCAAGCAGAACAGCAACCTTACTTATGGCTTAGCAACAGTGCATCTTTATCCGAATTATCGGACGAATGGGATTTATGTAGTCCATCTGAACACGTGGAGGTTTGAAAACTATCAGGAATATTTAATTATAATAAAAGCATAATGAAAAGTATATTAAATATACCGAAAGAAATAAAATTAAAATAAGAATAATAAAGTATAATAATATAAAGTATATAAAGTGTATTGAAAATAAATAAAAAATAATATTATATAAAGTATAAATAATAATAAAAAGTGTAATTACTGTATTAGAAACAAATTTATAATTATTAAGTACAATAAACATTTTTTATTTAGTAAAGAATAATACTAATAATAAAAACATTAAATAAATTATAATGATAATAAAAGTGTAGTACTTTATATTAAAGTTTTATACCAATAAAAAAATTAGTATAAAATAAACTATAATTAATGATAAAGAATATTGAATATTGTGGAGTAGAAAAAACTATAAGAAATAAATAATAGTAAAATAATAATAAATATAATACTTATAAGATTTAATAATAATATAGAAAAGTATAATAAATCTATTTGTAATATGTAATAAATTTAATAATGATAATAAAAATTATAGATATATTACTTTTATATTTAATTTAAGTACTTATATATTATTGTTCTTATTTTCTCTTCATTGTTTTATGAATGGCTACTATTTATTAGTTTCTATAAATATTTTATTATTTACTATATAAATACTTTTGTAGAACTGCAGTACTTCAATAATAATAAATTTTTAAAACTTTTAAAAATTTAAAACAATTATAAAATGTAATAAATTTATTTTAATAATATAAATAATTATTTTTTACGTCTTTTTATTTACTACAAAACTTTTCTATAAAACTAATATTAAAAGGGAGTATTATAATTATATTTTACTAATAAAATAAAATAATTTTTTCCCCTGACAACTTTTTATACTACTGAACTATTCTTTAAAACTAGAACAATGCAGAATGCGAGGCGGAGCAAGTTAATACGATAAAGACGAGCGCGCGCCCTCTCAGCACTGCATCGCTTACAAACTATTGCGTTTCGGATATTCTCGAAGTTTTATCGGTTATTATTATAGTTATTAATCTATTAGTTACTATTTATTTTTTATTATAACGGTTATTTAATTATTATTTATTATTATCATTGTATTTACTATTTATCATTTATTATTATTTTATTACTATTATATATTTATATTATTTATATTTAATATTAATTATTATTTTTATTTTATATTTCTATAATTTATAATTTTACTAATTATTAATATTATAATTCATAATTAGTCATTTTTTATTATATATATTTACTATTTATTATTTATTATTATTCAGTTAGAGAAGGACTATGAAAGTTGGGTCGCAAAAGTTCCGAAGGATATTCTTAAGAAAACTAAAAAAGATGAAGTAAAGCGGCAGGAACTTATTTACGAGTTATTCAAAACTGAAAGGAACTTTCTCTCTGCGATGGTCGCTCTTAAGGAAGTTTTTCAGGACAGTATTATTCTTAAGGATCTATTGAAAACTGAAAAAGTATTATTATTATTTATTATTATTATTACTATTAAAAAATAAATTTTTAAAGTTCAATTTTTTAATGATAATATTGAACTCTTTTAAATTTTATATTTTTATTAATAAATAAAAGTTCAACAAGATTATAAGAATATTTAATTTTTCTAATAATAATAATGATAATAATGATCATATACTTTTTTTTAATTTCATATTTTTATTAATAAATAAAAGTTCAACATATATAAAAAAATATTATATTCTTTTAGTTTATAATTTTTATAATTATAATATATATATTTTTTACTTTGTTAAACTTTACTTTATTAATAAAAATATTATATATATAAAAGTATATTATTATTATTACTAAAAAAATTTTAATATAATAAATATAAATTCTTATAATTATCCAAATTTTTTATATTTCTTGTTGACTTTATTTTATTAATAAAAATATTAAATTCAGAAAATTATTATTATTAAAAATTTTAAACATAAAAAGTATATAGATTCATATTTTTTTTGTTGAACTATATTTTATAATAAAAATATCAAATCTATAAAAAGTATATCATTATTATTATAATTAAAAAATATTTATTTTCATAATTATAATATATAGTTTATATTACAGTTGAACTTTATTTTACTAATAAAATAATATATATAAAATAGTATATTATTATTATTAATACATTTAAACTTAAAAAATATTTTTTTATTTTTATAATTATAATATTAAATATTAAATTAAGAAAAACAAGTATAATATTATCGTTATTAAAAATTTAAACATGAATATATAAATTTTTATAATTAAAATTATTTATTATGTTGGTGTTAAACTTTATTTTTTAATATTACTATTATTAATATCAACTTTAAACATAATATATTTACTTTATAATTATATTACTTTTTTTTTAAATATTTGTTGAATTTCATTTTAGTAATAAAAATATTATATTTAAAAATTGTGTTGTTATTATTAATATTATTACTAAATAGTTCAAAGTTAAGATAAATATAGTTTTATAGTTATAATATTTTTTTAAATATTTGTTGCATTTTATATTAATTATAAAAAAATTAATATTATGTAATAATTTCTATTTTTATAATTATTCTTTATTATAATAATTTTTGCGGAGCTTTATATTATTTTTAAGGATATTAAACTTGAAAAATATATTATTATTAAATACTTAGACATAAAAATATAAATTATTAATAATATTATCTTTTTTTGTATTTCTATTTTTAATATTTAATATATTATAATTATAAATAATTTTTATATGATTTTATTGAACTTCTTATTAGTATAAATTATATTAAATTTCAGAGGGTTTATATATTATTATATAGTCGTAATTTTATAAGGAAATGTTTATTTTTTATATAAAAGTATATTTTTTGGTGAACTTTATATCATTATTAAAAGTACTAACCTTAAAAAAAATATATTATTATTATAATTTTTCACTTTCTATTATAATCAAATATATATTATTAAAATTACTAGGATTTATATTAGTAATAAGTTTTAAGAATTTTTTAGTTAACCTCTAACAATAATATTATTTTTTTTGTTGTACATTTTTAATTATTCTTTATATTAACTTTTTTTTAATGTTTTTTTTATGTAGAAGTGCTTTTTTAAATGATAATTATTATTAAAGGCTTCTACAATTATAATAGTATTATTAAATATTTATACAAAAGTTTTTTATATATTATTTATTTAGACGTGATACTTTATGTTAGAATTTCCTTATAATTTATAATTATTATTATTATTCATAATTTTAAAAATATTAATCCCTTCGTCAATAAATATTTTAAATTTTCTTATAAATTTTTTTAAATTGGACTAATTTTTTTAAAAATTTTTAATTTTTCATAAGAAAATACTTTTCTTATTTTCATTATAATCATTATTATAAAAAATTAATACTTTAACTTTTTGTGTTGCATTAATTTTTGGAATCAACTTATTAAGTAATTTGCTACTCGTCATATGTTTTGGTCCTAGGTATACTCCATCTTCGCTAATTTGGACGATATTGTAATGCTCAGCTACCAAATGCACCGACGAATGAAAGGGAAGGCAATGCGGGAATACGTCGTTTCTACGATTGATGATTTGTTTGATGAACAGGCAAGCCAATAAGCTTCTTATTTATGTGTATTCTAGACAACAGGGATACGTTGCAATTTATATTTCTTGATATTTTGCGTTTATAATTAATTATTATTTATAGTAATTATAAAAGTTTTATTTTATTTTTTTGCAAAACATAACTTTTTTATAATAAAGTAATTTTAAATAAAAGAAAGGTATAATAAAACTTTCTGTTAAAGTAATAATAATAAGTATATTTTTTAAAAATTTCAAAAAGTATAATAAATATTTTTCTTTACATATTTTTTATGAATACATAACTTTTTTTTCACTTAATATTATTAATATTATTATAAATTTATTTATTTTTTATTATTATAACAATTATTAAAAAAATAATAATCCAAAGTAAAACTAAGAATATAATAGTAATTATAAAAAATAAAAAGTTTATAATAATATTGCTTGTAGAATTTTACTTTTTAATATGTCTTTTATAAATATATTATATTTTTTTTCCATAATAAATTTTTTAAATGTTTATTAGTTTGAATCATACAAATCATTTGCAATATTTTGCTCGAATCAGCCAATCGCTAAGGACATTTTGCACTTGGAGCGAAAAAAGAGTCCAGCGCTGGACCAGTTTCTTATCGAAGCTGAAAGGGATCCTCGTTGCAATAGAATGAAGATGGTATTGATTATTTATTACATAATAAAAATATAAAAAAAAATAACAAGGTTTCTTTATATATAATAAATATTAAAAGTATAAAACTTTTAAAGTGATAATATAATAATATTTATAAGTAAAATTTTTATTATTATTATTAATATTTGTTATATATATTTTATTAATACTTTATATATATTTTACTTTTTAATAATTTTTAATTTTTTTTATAATCATTATTATATACGATGTTTGTGCATTATAATTATGGTTATATTTACTTTTGAAATCTTTAACTTTTTTTTATAATTTTACTTTATTTTATTTATTTTTATTTGTTTTTATATTTTATAAATATATTTTTTAATTATATATATAATTTTATGAATTTTTTATTTTTTATATTAATAATAAAGTTTACTGCAAAAAATATTGTTATAATATTTTTTTTTAACGTTTACATTTTACAAAGATAATAAGTACTTTATACTTTACTATTTATAATAAACTTCTATAAATTTTTATTATATAATAAAGTTGTTGTTTACATATTTTATTTTATATTCTATATTCTATAAAAAGCTAATTTTTTAAAAATATTTATATTTATTAGTTTTTTATTATTAATATATTATTTTTTATAATAGAATTCTATAATTTTTTTTATTTTTATATAATGAATTTTTTTTGTACTTTTTATAATTATATAAGAGAATTTGTTATATATATATATATACTATTTAATATTTATTTCTTTTTTTTATATTTATAATTAAAATTATGCTTTTTTCATATTAACTATTTAATTAATTTATTTTAATATCTTTAAGTTTTTATATAAAACTTATTTATTTCTATCAATTAATATATATTTTTATTTATATTTTTTATATGAAATTTGTGTTTTTTATACTTATTAATAATTACTTTAATAAAAAAAAAGTTTTTATTTAGTTGATTTTTTTCTTTATAATAATAATAAATAAAGTTTACTGTTAAAAATATTATTAAAATATTTTATAAACGTTCACTTCTATAAATATAATTACTTTTATTTTTCTATATTATTTTTTTTTACGTATTTTATATAAAGTTTTTTAATTATATTTACATATAAAAAAATTTATAATTATTATTTTATATAATTTTTATCTACTTAATAAATATTTATATTTCTGCTTTTATGTATTATTATATTTATTTTCACTTATTATAATGATAATATAAAAAATATTTATTGATTAATATTAGTATAAAAATATATTTAAAAATTGTTTTAGTTTTATTATAATTATTGTTATTCACCTTATTGCTTTCAAAAAAAATAGTTATAAGAGAGTTTTTATAGTAATATTTTATTATTTATATATTTGTTATTATTATAAATATTATTTATTATTATTACTTGAGTTTTACTTTTTTTTTTACATATAAATATTTTTTAATATTTTTCAAGGAGGACATGTTTATTATGCCTATGCAAAGAATTACTCGTTATAATTTGTTCTTACAAAATCTATACGAAAAGTCAAAAAATGCAAAAGATAAAGAAAGAATATATTCTTGTCTTTCTCGAGTTGCCGGAGTATTATTATTATTGTTAATATTTTTAGTACTACTTAATGATTACTTATATAAATTTATTAATTATTAAAAGATCTTTAAGGAAATTAACTTTTTTATATATTTTTACTTAATTTCCATATATTAATTATACTTATTAAAACTTTGCTTTAGTTTTCATCGTTAATATTGAATTCTTTATTATCGTTATTTTATTTTAACTTTTTACTTTTCATATTCTAAAATATTGTTACATGTCGTTTTTACTTTTATTAGGTGCTTAGTTATGTAAACACGAGGACTAAACGGGTAGGAAATATTTACGAATTAAAAAAATTGCAGGACATGCTTGTGCTAGAAAATAATGTTAAAGTAACTTTTATCTCTTTTTTATTGGGACTTTTTTCTTCCTAAATTTAATTAATTTTTTTTTCATTTTTTGATTGGCTATTTTATTTTTATTATGTATCATTAATTTTTTTATTGAAGTATAGAAATATCTTCTATTTTATTAATGCCTTTTAAAGATATTCCTATTTCTCATATTGGCGCTTTTTTTAGTTCGTGACTTCTTTCATTATTTTTTGTGTTCTATGGTTTTTCTTTAAATATTCCCTTATTTTAATATTTTGATTGGTTCTTTAAATCAACCCTTCTACTATTATTAATCCTTTTTCTTTATTATCTTCTTCTTGCTTTCTACTTTTATTAAAAACTTTATAATTTTAGTACAATTTTGATTATTATTTATTTTTATTAACTTTATCAATTTATTTTTATTTTTAATAATAATATTCGTTAACGATTTTTCATATACTTTATTAAAAGTTTTTTTTTCTATAGACTTTATTAACTTTTGCTATTATTTTTTTTTTTTAATTATTACAAATGAACTTTATTTTTTTACTTATATATATTTTTAAGAAACTTTTTGTTCTTAATCATTATTTTTGTACTTCAAAAAAAAACCTTTTACACTAGTTTAAAAATTTTATAAATATTTTATATTCTACTTAATTATTATGAATATTACTTTTAATACTTTTACTTTTTATCATTCGAACTTTTATTAAAGTATGTAAATATTCTAGTTATTTGCAATAATAAATATTAAATATAGCAAATAATAATAGTGAAACACTAAAGTTATTAATAAAAAAATAAAATTATTACTTTTTTATTATATTTTTAAACTTTATTATTTTATATATTTATAATAAATAATTCTTTAGTTTTATATAAAATTTTAATTATAATATTTCTTTAAAATTTTTTAACTCTAATAACCGACCAGCTGGACTTGTGCGATTCTCCACGTGACTTTATACGGCAAGGCGAGCTCATTGTTAATTCCGCTGTTTCTGTAGAAGAAATAAAAAAATACGCCACCAAGCATAGCAAAAATGCTTATAGCGTAGAAGGTTAATATATAAAAGTTTTTTTTAGTGGAATATATAAAAAATTTTATAAAAAAGTTTAAGAAAACTTTTTAAAAATATAAATCAATATATAACTTTTGCTATTTTTTTATATATTTTATAAATATAAGACAAGTGGAAAAAAACTTTATTGTCACTTTTATAGTATAAATATATGAAAAAAGGCTTAAAGTATGGAAATTTTATGTGCACTTTTGTAGATTTAAAGTTTTCATTAAAAAGTTTAAAAAAAGTGTAGACAAACTATTTGAATAATAAATTTTATATAAGTACATGATTTTTTTTGTTTTAGTTTTCTTTAGTATATAAAAAGTTTGTTATATTTTTTATAATATAAATTTATATATTATTTTTATATTATTAAAAATTTTTAATAATAATAAATAAATAATATTTTTTTTAATTAGAAGTATAAGGTTTTTTTTCTATAAAGTATTTTTTATTGCTTATTATTATGCATATTTATAAAAATTTCGCGTTAAATAGGTTTTCCTTCATTCTTATATTGCTGTTTAACAGCTTTCTCATTGGTGTTTTTAGCTTTTTTTGTTCTATTTTAGCAAGAATTAGCCAGTTTTAACTATAATTATTACTGTTTAGGCGCTGATAAAAAGAAGGACGGACAGGAATCCTTAAAAAAAACTATTATTGTACTGAACGACATGGTCATAATAGGAACTCTTTCAAAAAATAAACTCATTGTAAAAGATGAACCTCTTCTTTTTACGGAAGTCCACGTGACTGACGGGATCGGCGGAGGTCAGTTATTTATATGATACTTTTTGATTGGTTACGAAAGCCTTTCTTTGGTTTCTTTTAATTAAAGTTTATAATTTGTGGCTATAAAAATTCCACTACTACTATTTGTAAAGTTTACTATTAAGTGAAAATCTGGATTTATTGATTGTGTTTTAACTTTTTTTTGTTTTTAATTTGTTACTTTTTGAAATTATTTGGTACAAAATATTCTGTTTTTGGTATTTTTATACCGTATCTTCACATTAGAACTGTGTTTATAATCCAACAATACCTTTTCGATTAAATATTATTGACACTAATTTTCAGTATTTGTTAATTTTAGGTATTACTTGGCATTTTAAAATTAATTCTGTACAAATTAAGCGATTTATAGGATTAATGCTGATTATAATATTTATATATAATTTTTTTTTGTGGGTATTCAAAAAATATATATATTAGAAAATTTTACTTCGTTTTTATAATTATTAATTAATATTATTATTTTTCAGGATCTTTGAAATCTTTTTTTCTGTTAAACAAAACAAAAAACTCGTTAACTGAATTTGTTTGCTTTTCTGTTGCTGAAAAAAAGGCGTGGATCAACGTTATTAGTACTGCTGCAAAAGAAGCTTGTCTCGCGCAATTACCAATGAAATAAAATAAAAAATATAAAAAATAAAACTTATTATTTTGTCAGTCAGTTGCGCCTTTATAAAGGCTCAAATGGGAGGTAAAGGAAAATGCGCAGCTAATAAAAAGTAGTCGGTAGAAACCAAATAGATAGTAATCGTAAATATTTTGACGAAGCGCTCACGTATTACTAAGCGACTTATCAAAAACGCTTATTCGAAAGAGGAGGCGGTCGCTCTTATTTTTATTTTAGCAGTTAAGTTTAATTAATCTTCTATAAAGTTACTATAAATTTACTTCTATATTAGATAAAGATAACATAAAATTCTTTTTTTCACCTCGCACTCAGAAATTTTCCAATGATGGTCTCAATTTGATATACAAAATTCATAAATTCATAATTATTTGTAGTTCATATTTTGTACCCACTTTGCTTTGGATCACGAGGAGGAGCGATGGTAAAAGGGCAGTGAGCATCCTTACAGAGAAAAAATCTATTTTTTAGTTAAATTTATTCCCTAAATTAAGATAATATAAGTTCATTCAATTTTCCACAATAATATATCCCTTAATTCACCCAAACTTTTTTATTTATTTAAAAAGACAATAAATGGATTTTACTCATGCGCCCTTTGTCGAGCATTTATACTGAATACTATTTATATTTGTATTTCCACAACTTATGGACGTTATTTTATAAAACTTTTTATTATTTTTTTTACCAAAAAAAATTAAAGTATTATAGTTTTACTAAGAAATATTTTATTGGGTCAAAAACCTAAATCAGTTCTTGATATGGCAAATAGGCTTCCGAATACAAGTCTGTATTTTTTTTATTTAAAAATGTAAAACTTTTACATACTACAGCGCTAAATAAGCAAGCGCATTCTTGGTAAATAAGCAGAGCTGGGATATGAATTAAAGTAACAAAATAAGAATTACTAAAAACTTAAGAAATTTAAAAAACTCGCAAGCAAATCTTTCTGTAATAAAATAAACGGCGTGGCCACAACTTTGATCTTAAGGTAACTGCAGAATGCTTGAATTTTATGTTCATAGGCGATAGGAATAACTTAGTCTTTTAAATACAGGATTTCTTTAATTTTAACAAAGCGATTCCCTATCAAAAGGGGTTCGGCAATATTTATGTCGAGGTTGGATACAAGTTTTTATGTTAACACATTAATAACTAATAAAAGCTTTTTTCTTTATCCTCTACTTGTGAGCTATCAATGATAATAAAAAAAATTATTTTAATTGAATCCAAATTTTTCTTGTATTCGGTAGTCACAACTTTTCTAAGTAAACGTTGTTGATCTTATATAGTAACAATGTTTTTTAATAAATCTAAAGGTAAAAAAACCGCTATAACTATTATTACTAAACCAGACTTCGTGAGTTCTTACTCATTACTATTAAGCGCTAATTGATCTTCAAGGCATTGCGACATCGTACCACTTGAAAAAGGCGTTTCCGTTCGCAGACAAGGGTCTTCAATTCTTCATACAAGCGGCTAGGACGGAACTCGGCTTCGCGTTAAGTTGCTGGAGTGTAATACGCTGTCACAGCGCCCTCGACTCAGTGAAAACTACGTCCATTAGGGCGGGCGTCCTTAGTAAGGCGGGAGATGTTTATATGGCTATATTAAAAGCCGAGAAAAATTGAGCCTAATTCGTGAACTGGCAGGTGGTCCGACGAGTATTCGTACCTTCTTTGCTTCTAAATTCGACAATTTTTCTCGTGTCTGAGACCCCCGAACTCGCCACGTGCATTACATTGCCTTTTTTTAAAATATATTTTACACATGGAAATAACAACAGGTTTATCAAGAAAGCGCTCACCCCTCTAGTGGGAGCTCAGCAGAGGAGGCCTGACTAGTAGTGGCGCTTCCAGTGTCTCAAGGTAGCCTCGGGCTGCAGTTGGGGTTGCCCACCTCACTCGGGGGTGTCTTTTTGGCGATTTTTCATGCTTTTTAGCCCTCCAGGACAATCATGATGAACTCCTTCGGGTGGTCATGCGTACCGCTTAGATCAGAGTAAGCAATATAATAGGTCCTCTTTTATAAAGGGCCTGACTGTAGTATGTCAGACCTTTTATTAGTACGCGCTTAAAGTACGTGCCCAGGCGCAGAACTCTGAAGTTTTGGAGCGCACTAAATCTTTCAACAGCAACATTATTCATCCGTTGCAGTCAATAGTTTTATTGCGGTTGCAGGAGTAAAATTTTAACGCAGCATGGTGCGCAGGAAGATATTGCTTTCTCCAAGCAGCAACGGGGAAAGTGCGTGGCGTAGAATACTGCTTTAACCCATCGAGTGTTAAAATTTTAACTCTTTTAACTGTATATTTACAAGCAATTAATTTCTTAACTCTACGATTTATGCCGTCTTAATAGACTGGGGCCTCCAAATCTATAGACAAAAGGCAAAATGAACAAGAGGACAATTAAGTAATATAAATATTTATTACCATAAGTTATAATGTCCAGAACCAAGCTTTTGGTTGTTAGTTCGGCAGCAGCTGATGTTATTTTGCCCGAAATAATATAAATCTGAGTTGGCATTCCTTGTGCGCCAACATTGGTTTTTCCTGCGTACTGACAAGTGGATTTCAAAAGAATAATTAGCAAAAAATATAACTATGCAGTCGATGTGTTAGCTAAGATCAATAACTGTGCTAGAAATTATGACTGAGAATCATCTAATTCTTCAAAACTTGAGCAGTTAGCGCAATGTCTTTTAAAAATAAGGAGTGCGTTATTTTTTTATGAGATAATGCAAACCTGATTTGTCAGCGTTCGATCTTTCAGCCAATCCTGATGTGTGTACTGACCATATATATTTAACTCTAAACTTTTACGGGAATTTTTTTGTTTAATTATTTTAATTTAAGGGTCTTATTGTTTTTTGAAATCAGCGACATTAGTTTCAATTTGTGATGTTAAATTTTTATTATTAGATTTTAAGTTCCAGGTGGATTAGATAATTTAGATTTTTAAAGTTTTAAATTTAGAGCAGAAAAAACATTTAATGCCTCCTGCCTATTAAATGAGTAGAGCTAAGTCATTTGCGCTATATCACATATGTATATTTAATACAAAAAAGGTGGCAAAAAAGATCTATAACTTTTTTTCAGCGGATTAAAGAACATCAAATTTTATTATTGATATTTGGTGGCCCATTTAAGCATTTTGTACAGTATTTTGCGATAGAGTATTTTATTGATAGCTTTATTGAATTAAAAAATTTGGGCTGCAGCTAACGTTTTTTTCTCTAAACAATTAGGTATTGTGAATAGAGGGTCTGGAGGCCTGTAGGCGGATAGAAAGCTTTTACCTACAAAGTTCTTCACAGTTACAATATTCTGCGGTCTTATAAAAATTACTGACTTTGCTACTTCTCCAAAAATGAGAAAAAAAAAAACTTTTACGGCAATGCTTACCTACAAGTGCGTACTTTTAGGAAGTAAATAAAAATTACAGTAACGAAATCTAGCAGCCCGTAAAGAAGAGTAACGCATAAAAATAATATCTAAAGTCTTTTAAATTTTAATAATATAAACTATATAAAAATGTAATAATACTAAAAAATAGAGGTAAAAAAATTTAAATACATTAGGTTGGTAAAGTAATATGAGCTCGTTTTTAGAGATTCAATACCTAGTGATTTTAATTTATCCCTCCTAGAAATGAGTGAATTTTTTTTCTTTATTACAAAATGTTTTCAATATAACTATAAAAGAGATTTTATTAAAAAAAAAGGAAGACTTTAGCATTATTTTTATTATAAATGTTTTTCTTAAAATAAAAGGTGTCAAAAACAGCTAAAAGTGTGAATTTCACTATAATTATTATTAATTAAACTTTTTTTTTTATTAACGTTTTTATAAGAAGCGGTAACCTTAAGAGAATGGAAGTATCTTTAATTTAATTTTCAGCTATCAAATTTTTAGATTATCTCATGGCTGTAGTAAATTTACTATTATTATAAATATATGTGGATTTCTTAGAAATACTAATTTAACTTTTGAATACATTAAGTTGGACGTAACCTTACTTTAAAAATTTTAGATAAAATTTTTTTTTATTACTTTAAATGTAACTTAATAAGAGATGTCCTAAAAATTTTGGGATGGCACTCCTTATTATAATTTAGTTTCTCAAGAAAATTATTTGTAAAGTTTTAAATCTATATGTTATAAATTTATATTTTATATTAATTTTATTTCACAATATTTAAGTATTCTAAAAGTTTTGCTTATTTTGATTTAATTAAATAAGCGTGTTATTATGTATAATAAAACTTATGAAATTATATATAAATTTTAAAGTTATAACTTTTTCTTAGTAATATAAATTATAAAAAAAGCCAAATTTAAAAAAAATCCGTTTTTTTAAAACATAATTTAGTTTAAAATTTCTTAATTTAACTTTTAAGATTTAATTTCTTTTTAAATTGTATTCTATTATCAACTCTTTTTAATTAATTTTATTTAAAAAGATTTAATTATTAAATTATTTCTGAGATAGAAAAGTATTGAACTTGTAGATTTTAAAAATTCTTTTTCTTAATATTTTTCAATATAATACTTCTATTTTACAATTTTAAATTTAATTTAAAAAATTTCTATTACTATACTAAACCTAATTAGTTTTAAAAAAATTGTAAATTCCATTCTTTATTAACATTTTTACAAGTAAACAAATCATTTTCCTAAATAATTGTGAATGTTTTTAATCCAAGCGAGAAAGTCCCGATTCTTTTTAAATTCGTAAAATTTCTATTATACACATTTATAATAGTAATAAAAAATGAATAAAATATTTTATTACTAATAAGTATTTTGCTATTTCGCTTGTTAATCCACGTGCCTCCATATACTCTTCAGCTGCCGCAACGAGCTCCTTATTATAGCAAAAAAACAAAATTATTAAAAAAAAAAAGTAAATTATTATATTCAACTTTATTATAGTAACTTTATCAAAATTTAATTAAAAAAATATAGTGTTATTTAAGAACACAATATATTAAATAAAATTTTTAATGACTTATAGTAAAACTAATAAAATAATTATTTAAAAAAAGTTAACAGTCAAAAATGAAAATAATAAAAATAATTTATCAAACTGTTTAAGAACTCTTCAGTTAAAAGATTATTGAAATTATCAGATTCGTTGAAAAATAAATAAAATTATTAATAGAAATTTAAATAAAAAGAGTATATTAAGAATTACTTTAAAATAACAAAATAATTATTATAAAGACTATTTACTATTCCTTTATAGTAAAAATTAAGCATAATTAAAAAGATTATAATAAGTTTTACTTAAGATCACAAAATTATTAAATAAAATTTATAATGAATTATAGTAAAATTAATACAAAATTTAAAATAAGGTTATTTAATATCTTTTAAAAAATTTAATAATTAACAATAATTAAATATAGATTATATACAAATTTCTTAGAAGCTTTAGAGTTATTAGAAAATAAAATCAATACAATCCAAAAAAATTTTAAGTATAAAATTTTTTTATGAATAAATACGGGATCCAATTGCACAGCTGGAAGGCCTTTATGAGCAAGAGAGCGGTAGTGTTCTCCTTCAGCAGTACTGGAAGCTGGAAAGATTTAGAATTTTTTTTTATTATAAAAAATTATAAAAATTTGCTTCAGAAGAAGTAAAGTGGTTATGATTTATAATAATTATAAAAGTTTTTTTTTTCAATTAAATTTTGATTAAAAAATGCTTCAGCAATATTGGAAGCTGGAAAGGTTTAGAAATCTTTTTACATTATTATCGAAAATTGAAGTAAAGTTGTTATGATTTAAAAAAAATTCTAAAATTAAATTTTAATAAAAAAATTGCATCAGCCGAAGTAAAAGTTGAAATGATTAAAAAACTTTATAAAATATTAATTTTATAAAAAAAAATTAAATTCCAAATAAAAAAAAACAGCTTCAGCAGAACAAAAAACTAAAAAAGTTTTAAAATTTATAAAATATTTTAAAAAATGATTTTTTAATTAAGATTTTGAATAAGCAGAAGTAGAAGCTGAAAAGACTCTAAAAGTAAAAAAGATTTTTTTAAATTCTTATTTATAATTTTTCAGCAGTACTTGAAAAGAATGTAAATTTTATATTAAACAATTATTTAAATAAATTTGAATTAAAAAAAAAGTAGACTTTTTATAGCAGTTTTCCAAGTGTAAAAGATTTAAATTTTAATATAAAAATAGAGTAGATAATTTTATTATAATAAATAATTTCTTTAGCAGTACTGAAAGCTAAAACGATAATAATATGATAGGAAAACATTTTATAAAAGTTATATAAACAAAAAGTAAAAATATTAGTTAATATATTTTAATAAACAAAATCTTTCAGCAGTACTTAAAAATAATTTTAAATTTTATATAATAAAAAAAAAATAGAAAAAAAAATTTAATAAAAATAAAAAATGTGATAAATTCCTTCTAGCGATACTTAAAAAGGATCCCAAATTCTAGATAAAAAATATTTAATTTTAAATTTTATTAAAAAATAAAAGTAAAAATTTTTTTTCAAACTAAAAAAAATTTGAAATTTTGTATAAAAAGTTCCTTTTAAATTCTTAATATAGTAGAGAAAAACTTATAAATAATAAAAATTTGTTATAATATTCCTTCCGCAGTATTAAAAGCTGAAAACATTAAATATTTATATATATATTATGAAAAAAGTCAAAACTTTAAATTAATAATTATAAAATTTCTAAAGGAGTTTTTTTAGCAGTACTAAAAACTAAAAGATTTTAAACTGTGAATAAATTTTTTTTAAAAATTATTCTTGAAAAAAGAGGTAAATTATTTATGAAAATATTAAAAAAATTAAATTAAAAATTTCTTAAGCATTATTCAAAGCTGAATATGGAAAAAAAAATATTTTAAAACTGTATAAAAAAAATTTTAAAATTTTTTCCATAATAACAAAAAAGCTAAAAAGAATATAAATTTTAATAAAATTAATTTATTAAGTTATATAAAATATAAATCAGAAACTTTTCTAAAAAATAAAAATATTAAATGGAATTTTTTTTTTAGCAATATTAAAAACTAAAAAGTCTTTAATCTTTGTATTAAACGACTTTAAAAATTTACAAAAACAGTAAAAATTATTATTTATAAAATATTTATTAAAAATTTCTCTAGTAGTTCTGAAAGCTAAAATACATATAAAATTATTATTAAAAATTATCTTTACAATAAATATTTAAAAAGTTTATAAAAAAATTAAATTTTTACAGTTCTTTAAATTTAATACAAAAAGATTTTAAATAACAGAAAAAGGAAAACAGAATATTTATAAAAAAAATAATTAAAAATTTCTTTAGCAGTACTAGAAGCTGATAAGATTAAAATAAATTTCTATATAAACGAATTATGTTTATACGGTTTAAAGTAAAAAGTAAAAAGTTTATAAATTTTTTTAGAGGCACTCAAACCTATAAAAATTTAAAATTATATATAAAACGATTTTTATAATTTACTACTAAAAAAAGTAGGAAATATTTTTTATAAAAAAATTTAATGGAACTCCTATGAGCAGTACTGATAGCTTTAAAAATAAAATAGAATATAAAAATAGCATAAAAAGGTATTTACTACTATTAAAAGTGAGCTACAAAAGCAGTGAAAGCTGGAAATTTTTTTATTACTTTATTAAAAATTTATTAAAAACTTTTTAGTAAAATCCAAAAATAATATTTTTAGTTCAGTTAGTAATAATTTCTGTTTAAAATCATAAAAAAATTTTTAAAAAAAAAACAAGAAATTAAAAAATTTATAATCGAAAAAACTATAAATATTTTAAAAAAAAATTAATTAAAAAATTTTATTCAAATTAATTAATAATAAATAAGAAAAATTAACATATGAAAGTCAAGTCATTTTAAATAAATAAATAAAATATAAAATATTAAGCGTAACCCGAACTTAATAAAATGTATATATAAATGATTAAAACTTAACTATAATATAATTACAATTATAATTTTATATAGATAAAAGATTTATAAAGCAAATTTATTTTAATATAAAGGCTCTAAGCGTAACTCAAACTTAATAAAAAAGTAAAAAATACAAAACTTTATGAAATTAATAACAGCAAAAAGATAGAGTAGTAAAAGATGAAGAAAGTTAAAAATAATAATTTTTTAATAATTTTTTCAAGAATGAAAAAAAATATATATAAATTAATAAAAACAGTCCTTTTAAATTATAGATAAGGAATAAATAAAAAAAATAATAAATTTTGCAATTTTTTTATATCAAGTAGAAAGATAAAAATTGTCTCATATAATTTAAAAAAAAAAGTTAAATATTAAAAAAATTTATATATAAAATTTTAAAATTAACTTAAAGAAATTAAGCTTAAAAAGATTTCATTATAATTTATATATAAATTAATAAAAGGCCAAATTTTAAAAAAAATTAAAAAATATAAAAAAATTGAGTTCAAATTTTTTTTAATTATTTATAAAAAATTTGTAAGTTAAAATTTATAAATGATTATTGTATACCAATCTTCTAGAAGAGTTTATAATAATAATTTAAAAGTAAAAAGAGATATAGATTATAAATATAGAATAATAATTATATATAAATTATAAGAAATAATATTAAAGATTTAAAGAAAGTAATTATAAGCTGAATTGTATTAAAAAGAAATAAAAAATTCGAGTAAATTAATATAAAGAAAATTAAAGTTAAAAAAGAAATTAAAATATTATAAAATTATAAAAATTATAGCATTGCAACTTGCTTATATAAAAAACTTAAAAAAGTAATGAAAAGTAAATCTTTTATTAAAAAATATAAAAATATAAAGTTGAGTTAAATTTATAAAGCAAATAAATTAAAATTTCAAGAAGAAAAATTAAATTAAAAAAAAAATTAATTAAAGTTGTATAAAACAGAAAATTTTATAAAATTTTATTATTATATATTTTAAAAGATTCCAAAAAGGTCAAAATTATTATAAAAGTGATAAAGTTATAATTATAATTTTTAAATAAAAATTTCTGTTAAAATTACTTCAATATATAAAATATGAAAAAGTAAGAAAAAATTTATAGATAAGAAAAATAAATATAATTTGTTTTTAAAATATAATACCTTTACAGAAAAAATAAATAAAATAATTTGGGACTGAAAAATTTTATATTACATATTATGTAGTATAACTAAATTTAGCAATGATATAAAATAGAAAAAAATAAAGTAAAATTCTTTTATATTACTTTTTTTCTTTAAATTTTTTAAACAAAATAATTTTATTCAAAGTATACTTCAACAAAATAATATTTTCAGGAAAAACTTTAACAAACTAAAATAAAAGTAATAAAAAAAATTTTTTACAAGAAAAACAAACAAAATTTTACTTTTTTTTTTAATAAATTTAAATTATTGATCATGAAAGTTAGTCTTTTATATAAACTTATTAAAAAGTTTATAATATTAAAAATATGAATTTAAATATAAATATACTTTTATATTAAGTAATATAAAGTTCATATGAAAATATTGTAGAATCCAAATATTGAAAGTAGATGATTTAGCAATCTTTTAAAGAAAATTTAAATAAATAAAATTTAAAAAAGGGAAATAAAAATAAAAAATAAAAATATTTTTAATTTTTATATGTTAAAAAAAATTAAAAATTACTATTTGATAAAAGCAAATTAATATTTTACAACTTTTTATACTAATAAAACCTGCCAATTTAGAGTCGTGTAGGTATCGAATAGTTTTTACTTGGAATCTCTCGTCGACGACGTTAACTTCAAAAACCATCGAGCCATAATCCATTTTGCTCTTAAAATAGGATTAATCAAAAATAAAATTCGAAAGTTAATATTAAAATTTTTAATAAGTATAATTTGTACAATAAAAAAAAAAATTTAAATTTACAAAAAAAAATCCAAACTTTTGAAAAATATTTTTCCAACGTTTAAACTTTGATAAAATATTTAATTTTAAACATTAAAAGTTTGTAAGTTAAATAAAAATAAAAATAATAAAAAAATTTAATTAAAACTGTTCGACATAGAAGAAATTTTATTTTTTTAAAAGGTGTTATACTATTAAAGAGAATAATTAAAATTAAAGATATAAATTTAATTAGCAATAAAATATTAAAAATAATTTAATAATAAAATTAAAAATTTATTTACTTTTGAATATTAAAATAAAAAATTTTTAAACGATAATAATTAAAAGTTATCAAAATTAAATTAAAATAAAAATATAAAAAATAATAAAGTTATGAAATAATTACAAAAAACAAACTTTTTTAATTATTTTTTAAAATTGTACATTTATATAATATAAATTTATTTTATAATTAAATTATAATTATTTTATGTATAATTTTTTATAGGAAATTTAGATATTTTTAAAGTGGATTAAAACTAAATACTAAGTTTAATATAATATTTACTATTAAAAATGGAAACTGAAAAATAAATTATAATTCTAAAATGAAGCCACTAATTTCGTTTTTAAGGATATAAAGAAAAAAGACATTAGTATTAAAACTAAACCTTTTATTTTTTATAAAAAATAAATATACAGAAAAAAATTTTTAAAAAAAACCGTATAAAAAATCTGTTTCGATAAATTTATATACAATACTATAATGTTATTAAGAATTTAAGTTATATATTATATATAAATTAAACTTTTAAAATTTGAAATAGAATATAAAATTTATCTAATAATGAAATAATTCTTTTAGCTAAAAAAAAAACTAATTAATTTATTTAAAAATAATCTGTTCATTGGATTTTATAAAAATAATGTAATTAAAAATCTAATTGATAATAATTAATCGAGAAGAAAAAAAGAAAACTTGTACTTACTAAGAAATTATACAAGTCATAAAAATATTATATAAAAAAATTATAGTCAAATTGATGAAAAAAAATTTGAAAAAAATTATAACTTTTTTAATAAATCTATATAAAAATTTTAAGATCTAAAGATTTGATTTAATAAATAATTATTTTAAGATTAAACTTTTGTATAGACCGAGTGAAAAATTTAGCTAAATAAAAATTTGACAATATATAAAAAAAGTACTTTTAGTTTTTATTAAGCGATTTAATAATAAACTAAAATTCAAATTTACTACTGGAATTAAGAAAAAGATTTAGATTGTAGATTTTTATAATAAAATTAATAAATAAATTACAATAATTTTGTTGAAAAAGAAGTTTATTAACTAATCAACTTATTGTACAAATTATATTATTAAATGTACAAAGTACTATTAAGAAAAAAAATTTACTTTTTGTAATCTAAACTTTTTTCTTATAATTATGAAAAAAATAAATAGTGAAAATAGAGAAGTTTTAAAAATAGTTCAAAAATATTACTTTTCATAATAAATTTAAAAAAAATACTAAAATTATAATAATAAAGAGTGAAGCAAAAATATAAGGTATACTCTCTAGTATATTCTTTTTTTAAAAATAAAAAAATTATAATTTGAAATAAAAATAATACATTCAGGTTACAAAATATATTAAAGTATACTTTAACAAATTATATATTAATTAGTAATAACCTTAATTTTTGAGAATATTACGGTAAGAGATAGATCAAAATCCTATAAAAGGGATTATAAAAAAAATTAAATTACAACCAAATTTATAACAAAAAAATAAAAGGTTAAAAATTAAAAAATTTTAAATTACAAGCTATTTAGTATTATAAAGAGATATAGATAATCCCTGTTCAACTGCATCGTGCATAGATAAATCAGAATCATGAATTTTTATAGTAATTCTGTCATAATTGAAGAAAAGATAAAATAATTATTTATTAATAACATAAACTAATTATTATAAAAGGCCAAAATATAATAATACTTTTCTCCTTCTATTACAGCTTCGAATCTGAACTCTAAGTTCCCCTCCTCCACGTACATCTATAAATATTAAATAATAATATAAAATTTTCAAAATATGTATATAAACCAGTTTACTTTATAAGGAAAGTTGTGAACCACATCTTTGAAGCCTTCATAATCGGAGCCCATCTCACCAAATAAGCTAGCAAAGTGTTTTTGAAGTTTTCCAGCAGAAAGTAATATTTCGTTTTTGTCACCAATTTCTCCGACTATATTAAATATAATAAAAAATGTAGCGAGCTGAAAGTATTTTGAAGGTTACTAGTTTGGTGTTAAAAATTAAAATTTGTTTAGAAACATTTACAATATTCTTTTGGATTGTCTTTCATATGAAATCCAGAAACATAAAATAAACGAAATTTTATAGTGTTTTTATAAGTTATGTTTTTGGGATGTCTTAAACAACCTAATAAGAACAAGTAATAAGTTCATTAAACTAAAGAAATCTTGAACATAAAATAATATAATTTTGAATTACAGCAAAAGTATTAAGCTAGTAAAGATTTTACAGAACCAAAGTTTCGAAGAGAGATGAACTTAAGCATTCTGTTAATGAGTTATTAAAATTTAGTGTTTTTGCCTCAGTTGCATCTACAATTGTAAAACTCTAAGCAGACCAAATTTTAAAAGAAAAGGTAAAGCAGACATGCAAGGTTTAAAGAGGGCGAAAGTTTTCTTTACCATTATAATAGTGATGGCTGTTACAAATGAGATGAACGGAGAAAAGGTTTGTTTTTTTGCCTAGGGATTTATTTGTATATTTTATTTTTTACTTGATTATTAAGTTTAAAAACTTTTTAAGGATAAACTGTTAGAACTTCGGTGTCAAGTTCTGAAAAATGCGAATTCTTTGCGTGAAACAGTTTCATCTATAGAACAGCTTAAACTTGAAAGTCAGCGAGCAAAGCTAACCCTAACAGAATTAAATACACTTAGTAAAAAAAAAACAAATTGTTATCGTTCTGTAGGGAAAATGTGGGTTTAATAAATGAATTTTTACTTTTTATTTTTAAGTTAACACGTTTTGAAGGTTTTTGTATAGTGATGAACATAAAGTCAAGTCTTGGCTAGAAGGCACAATTGATAATAATCGTAAACTAATAGATAACCTGGAAGTAAGTAAAATATTTTTATTATTTTATTTAATAATCTTTTGCTATTTTTTATAATAGAAAAAAAGGGAAAACCAAGTTGCCTCTTTACTTCAAAGTGAAAAAGAGTATAAAAACTTAATAGATAAAATAAAGAGCGATGTTTAATAAAGCATTTAACGAATCTTGTATAATATTTTACTTCAGTTTTAAAATTTTTTCATTTATTTTAGTTTTTATTTTGTAATCGATCAGGTTATTGATTGGTCTATAAATAGCTTGCATTACAAATAAATATTCTAAGCTTGATTCTTTTTAATTTATAAAAATTTTATTACTCCTACATATTTCAGTTTATATAAATGGTTAAGCTTTACCTTTATAATACATTATATTTTACTTATAGACTTTTTACTAAGTGATAAAAAAAAATTATATACTAAATTTGAATTTAAAACCTTCACAGTATAAAATTTATAATATTACAGAATCTGTCACTCTAAATATTAAATCGTAGGCTGTGCGACAATCTAGCAGAAATTTTGTTAACTTTAAAAGATAATTAATATTTTATAAAATTCGATTTACGCGCAGAAATATTTATAAGTAATCATTCTAATAAAACTTTTAAGCTCAATAATTAGTTTATTGGTTATTATGGGTCTCAACTCTATTAAACCTGATTCTTTTAGGAAATTACTTAAAATAAAAAGCAAGCGATAGCTCGAGCGCTGGCTGTTTAGCTCGGCTACGATATTCTGACGCACAAACTAAAGTTACAACACATTTTTAATAAAAGAAAATCGTTACCGCACAATTAAAGGCAACGTAGTTTCCGTTACTTTACTTTAAAAATTTTAAAAAGCTGACTTTATACTTTTTTAAAAGTGCGTATTAAGTATTTAAATATTAAAGGGTGAAGAAAGAACTAAGTATTCATATAACATATTTATTAGACACGGTTTTGAAAACAACTTTATTATTTACTATAAGGAAGCAGAACTAAAACTTACTTTAAAACCATTTCTTTCAATTAATTGAAAAATTTCTATCAAAAGTACCTTTATAGTTCATTAAAGGTGCTTGTAAAATAATTAATTTAATAAGGTAAATTTATAATAAGCAAATATATTCCATATTTATAAAACATTGTCGTACACAACGTAATAATCTTAATCTTTAAAGTTCAAAAGCTTCCTATTTATTTTAAAAAGCATTAGTAACTTAAAATTTACATTATCTCCCACAACCCACCTTGTACAAAGCAATCGTAATTCAGGCAGCGAAAAGTCTTAAATCTAAACAATTAGTATATTTTGATTGTATTCAACTTTGAGGAACGGTGAGCTGCATCTTAGAACTTAATTCGTATTATTGTCAATCTTTCTTAAGAACTTTACTTTATAAATGCCCTTTTTTTTGACCATTCTAATTTTTTTTACCACTTCGCTTATGAATAAATATGTTATTTATATTTTCTTATCACTGGTATACATAAAACCACTTGCAACTAGAAATCTTCGCTTCTATTAGAATTTCCTTTTTAATCAAGTTCAGTAAGAAAATAACTGAAATTTTACCCGATTAGTTTAACCTTTTATACTTAAACCATCACTGGACGAATTTATTAACTGCATTAGGGAATATATTTAGAGCTCAGAGATATCTTCCTAAATTCGTGTGCATAAGCATTGTCACTTTTACAAAAACTGTTAACCCGATTTAAAGGATCCGTCTCCCCTAAAAGTTTATATTTTTGCTTACTTTTTTATTTTTTTCATATATATAAAAAATTTATTATAAGGTTTGTAAGTTAATTAAAAAGATATTCTGTTTTATAATTTTTAATTATAAGGATAAAAATGGATTTTTTTATTTTAGAAAAACTTATTTAAAATTTGCACGCTAAATATTGATAATAACATTATTTTTACTTTTTTTTCGAAGTACGTAAATAAAGTAACTTCCCCTATTTTTTCTGAAATATATTTCGCCCTGTAAACATTTTACAATTTCTGTTGCCTTTAATTCTCAGTGGACAAACAAAAAAGAAAAAATCTGTTATAAAGGAATTGTTTTGTAATACTATTGCATAGGTTTTAGTTTTAAATTTTATACAAAAGAATTACAGGAAAAACTACTGTGTTCCTGTATAAAGAAATAATTTTAGCTTTCAAAGGATTCTAAAAACAGGTTTGCTAATAATTGCATATCTTTCGGTTTAATCTTCTCTTTATATTTTGGTAAACCTATACAACTCTGAAATACTTATAAACAGGTTGTAGACATTTACCACTGGTATTTGTGCAAGGTTTACTCCCTATACAAGCGAGGTTTTACGGTAATAATTAATTTGCTAATAAGTTGCTTGAAGACCTGGTGTCTTTTAATTTTAATTAAGCAGATCCAAACGCTACCATAATTATTACCAATACTAAACAGGAGTAAGATGTAACATCAAGATTACGGCTAGCAAATGTATTTAATGACAAAACAAAAACTATACTCCAAAGAAATAATAATATATTTTATTTTAAGTTTATAAAAAATTATTGTATAATGAAACAGAAATGCTTTCTATTATATTATTTAACGATACTAACATCTAAGGAAAACCTCATATATCATTAACAGCCGACTTTTTGTTACCTTTAATTAAACATGGTTAAAAGTGTAAGAAAAGTTTAAGCTTATAAAAGTTACTTCGAGTTATTTTGTCTAAAAGTTCTTTAACACGTTCAAAGTCGGCTTCATTAGGACAAACAGTACAATTTAGAGTAGAGTCAGTGCTAAAATCGGTGGGTCTTGCGGCAGAGTTAGGATGGATCTCTTTATTTAGTTTCCCCTTTGGTATTTCTTTTTGCTCCTCCATAAAGTTCTTAAAGCTTAAGTAGTCAATATATTAAAAATAGTTACAAACAAAAAACTTATAGGATGAGCAATACTCAGTAAAATGAACCAAAACCAATTTTTTCTTATAAAAATAACCCAAATGTATAAATAGCAAGAACACCGGACCTTTATGCACAGAGCCTTACCGCTTTATAGAATTTCTAAAGATATAGTACTAACACCTAGGAATCCTTGAACTTAGCTTTACGCCAATATTTGCGTCTTTTATCCAAGTACTTTTAAAAGAATGCAGCTAGAAGGAGAAAGTAATTAATAACGGTTAGAATAGAAACCAAACTAAGCAAGTTACAATAGCTTTTAGATGTAAAGTTTGCCGGTTAGTCAGTGTGTCAGGTTCGGGTCTGAGGTTTTGCTAGGGTTATGCTATTTCAGTTTGTTAATCTAATGCAGCTATTAAACATCTATGTCTCTGGCGTAGAAGCTATAGTTGCCCTAGCGCTGAAAGCGGTAGGTTATTTAAATTGGCAGTGTGAAAATGCTAGACAGATAACTTGACAAAATCTCCTAGGTTAAACTTTCTCGGTTAGAAATATGTAATTAGTAAAGGCAAGCAAGCCTGTGGCGGAGCTTAAGGGGATTTTTTTCCCTCTTGCGTGGTTGCAAGGTGGTGTGCCTTTTGCTTTTAGTAGTGAAATTAATATAATATATGCTTTCTATACTGAATAATCTTATTATGCCTCAGCCCCATATTAGTGTCAATGCACAAACACTCAGTTATAACAATAAATAGTCTTTTGTTCTGATTTCCGTGCTTAAATTGAAGAGCTGGCGCTTAATCGAAATGTACCGCTGCCTTAATAATATTTGTCCATTAGTAAGCGTTTACATGTTGTCGTATTTTTTATGCCTTCACCAAAGGCTGAATAATTTACTTCCATTTTTGTAAATAATTAATTTCAGGTTTTTTGTTACAAATTAATGTTCTTTTTTAATTATGTATATTTAAAAGCAAGGTGTTATATTAATTTTTTTTCCCATATTTGTATTTCTGTACTGTTAACTATGTGTATTTTCAGTTAAATAAGCTCTAATGAGGAGTCACGAATAATGCGTACCCAATTAAAAATTTGATTTAAAAAAGATTTCATGTACTTAACGTGCAAAAGTTAATTCTACCAGTTATAAACTTGTCAATAATATGCCTATGCAAGCAGCGATAAAAACCTTTTAACGACTACTACTCGAGAGATTTTATCTATCGGGGTGTAGTGTGAAGTAATCAATAAAAGGTTTTTAATCTTACCTTCCTTTCATTATATAATTAAGGCGCTATAGTAAAATCGTAAGAACTACGCGACTTACCCAAAAATTAGTTGTACTGAAAAATTTTTTTCAGTGCTTTTAATTTGGTTCAAGTTAAAATATGAATAATTTTTTTCGAATTTTCTTTTTGTTTGTGTTAATTGGATTTTTGTTTTATTCTAGACTTGTCCTCCAAATATTTTTTATAAACTGTAAAATTATTTTTCTTCTTTCAGAATATATAGATGGTAATATAATAGGAAATCATTATGTAATTATGTAATGTTTATATATATATATAATGTCCTTTTGTGAAACTAAGAGGTGTTTGGACTAAGACCATAAGTAAAAGACAGTTGTCATCAGGTGTAATGATCAGTGATAACTTCACTTGTCGCTTGTTTTTATCTGTTTGTAATTTTTCCGCTATGCCTAACTTAAGTGGGACCTAAATGGGTAGTTCTCAATGGTACGGCTTACCAACTTCTACTATGATCTAGTTCTCCCCTCCCCAAGCTTTCGTTAGCTAATTTTATTAGTTGCGACAAACGCTTATTTTATATATTAAATAATATGAGCGTTTAAATACAATTATTTAAAGTCTTAATACATAAATAATAGTTTCCTTTTGAATAAGAAACGAGTAGTGAGGGGAAGTGGCTAGCAGTATCGGGAGGGGCCAGTGTCCACAAAAAGTTTCAGATCTTTTGCCGATGCCTCCTCTACTGGTTACGCTTTATAGCTTTTTCCACCTCACTAGGTCAAATGTCGGGTAGTCAGGGCCTAATATTTCTACGCTGACAAAAGCTGTATGCCAGCGCTGAAAAAAATATAATAGTGCGGCCTGTCGAAGATTGACTTTCATTCTCTTTGACTCATATGTTAGCCCTACTATATATATATAATAGTCATTAGACTTTTATTTTAGGCACTTTGTACCCCAGGAAATCTTTACGATATTAGGATAGTAACATTTACAATACTGATTCGAAGTACAATAGCGT